TATATACACATATATATATAAAAATAGAAAATAAAAGATGACATTAATACACATAATACTACTATTATCTTTTATGATTATATTTTCTCCCAATATTAAATCAATTGGTATGCACAGCTCTGAAGGGTATATACCCACTTGGGAGCTGTAATCAGGAGAAGTGTAAATAAAGACCTGGAGGGAACCTGGTGGCTCAGTAATGACCCAGGATGGGTGTTTGTAGAGTGAACATGTAAACCTTGGTGATATACACAATCTGTCAGAAGACTCGTTTTTCCTCTACCCACCCTGTTGAAGGAAAATGCATGAGAAGAGAAACTTAGGCGCATGTCTACCCAAAGGCTTCACCTTGGTGAGTTTGCAGCATCTGAAAAGGCTGTACGGGAGACCTCTCTCCATTCCTATGTGACTGACTGATGACATTTCACTTACTAAGTAAAAGCTACCATCTATTAGGCAGACCATTGTTCATTTTTAATATCTTTGGAAGCGGAGATGGGGTAGGTATTTCTTTCTAGGACCCACAATCACAGAGTTTCCTGTTCCCAACATTAGAAGATCCAGAAATCACCAGAATGTTGTTTGGTGAGCACACTGTCAAAGCAGAGTGGTTGGAGTTGCTGGACACCTGAGAAACCACCACTGGTCATAGTACCATCTAGTCCTTCAGATGGAGGATCATCCCCCTGACCAGTGCACCTCCCACTGAGCAGGGTAGGATAAGCACCTGTTTTCCTCCTCCTTTGTGCTCTCATCACCTACTGGTTAGTCATTTCCTTTCTGTTTACTTACTCATTTTCTGTCTCTAATACAGATTATTAGTTTATGCTTATTAATTAGCAAAGAGTCAGAGGGTCATCATTCAGGAAGCCCCAGCTACCTTATTTTACCTCCTGAGCTGCAGAATCTTACATCTATGATCTCATTTACCCATTTTGCTCTCAAGAAGCAGTGGGAATTCCCTCATTTCTGTGTACTGGAGCACTGTTTACAGTTGGCCAGTGGATCATCCGCATGCCGTTTTCACAGGACTCATCCCCATTGGGAGGTTGGTCCTGTCCCACTTCCCTCCTCCATGTTTGATTTCCCTGGAAGCCCTCTGAGGGGTAAGGAAGAAGGGGCTGTGGAGACCAATACAAGAATCCAAACTCCAGTAGATACTGGCTGCCTCCAACTTTAAGACTTAGAGAATTTTCCAAATGTAATATTCAAGATCTGGCCCACCTCCAGGAGTATATTTTAGGAAAGTTTAAATTAAACACATTTAGTTCCTGCCAAGGAGACAAGCTGCTAGGAGCTAGAGAACCTTCTGTATTTCTTAGCCCTCATCTCTGAGCTTCTACCATCAAGCAAAGAAAACGGTGAATGGCTCATCTCTCTGGATCAGTGAGGGAAACTAAGCCAAGTGAGAAGGAAGAGCTTCAGACCTATAAACAGGGCAAGCAATGACCTTGGAACTTGGACAGGGCCCAGCAGATGCCCAGCTACCTTGGAATTATCTGTTCTTTTCAGTTCCCAGTAGAGAGGTAGCTAAATGAATTTAGCTTTGCATGTGGTATTTGGAAACTAGACTTGTAATGAATTTATAAAAGAAAATAATTTCTTAACATGCTAAATCTCATAGACATTTCCGAAAAATATCTCTGATGGGCAATGGAGAGGGGAAAAAAGGTTTTGTCTGAACTTCTTAGAGTCTCTGGCTGGGTCTAAAAACAAATCAATAAAACAGATTAACAGAAGAAAAAGCATATGGGTTTATTTAGAAGTTTTATGTGACTCAGGAGTCTTTATAAGGAAACAAAGACCCAAAGAAACAGTCAGATTTGTACATTTTATTCAAGGTTTGATAAAGAATCATTGGATTAAAAAGGATGAGATATATTGGTAATAACTGGGGAGAAGTTAGCAGGGCCTACCAAATTCTTCTTTTTGCCCTCGAGCCTTCCAAAATAAAGTTGTTCCTTTGCTGTGGGTAGCAGGAGGGCACCTCTCCAACAGGGGTCTTATAACCTGCTTCTGAGGAAGGTCAGAAAGTCCTTCCTAGGATATACGAGTTGCTTTAGAGGAGATGTTTGGAGGGAGGTCAGAGAGTGATCTTCCTGCTTCTGCAGTTTCCCCAGATCCTTCACTTTTGAAACAGTCTGTAAAGGTGCCATATTTGGGAGCAGTGTATTCTGAATCTCATCAGCAATTGTCAACTAAAAATGTCACAAATGGAAGTAAAACATTGACCAAAAAAATCAGTGATGGGATAGTAATTTAGAGGCTTCTTTAAGAATAGAAATAAACTACACTTATTGATCATTTATTATGCATTAGATATTCTCTATTCTGAGGATTTACCCCATGTTGTTTGTTCGATGGTTATGGTGAGTCTGACATATAAATGCTATTATTATTTTAATCCTCTTTTAATGATGAGAAAACTAACAGATAGAGAGCTTAAATAATGTGCCCAAGGCCACCTGGCTAGTAATTGATGACATTGATATTTGAACCCCAGACCCAGGACCTGGGTCCCCCACCCTGCTGCCTTTGGCTGCTACTCTTCCCCTCCCTCTGTAATTGCTCACGTACCCAGAGCCGATGCTCAGTAAACATTTGCCGAATAGTTAAATGCTGCAATAAACTGTACCATTTAAATAAACAAATGGTTGTGGGTGAAAAATAAGCGTACACACAGTACGTAAGAGTAAACTGCTATAGCTATTTATGGATTTTCATCTGAACTGCGACACAAATAGAACTGCAGTCTAAGGAGAAGTTAGAATAAGAGAAGTAGTGGAGAAACCCTTGTTGCAGCCATCCAGAGGGGTGGTAGTGACTAAAATGACCCATAATTTTATAAACACATTTTATTTTATAAAAACAAGCATCCCATACTAAATGAAATGTGGAATCTTGGAATATGAAAAGGACACTTAATGAGAAAGTGAGTAAAATCCAGATAAAGTCTGGCATTTAGTTACCAAGAATGCTTTGATTAGTGTTGGCTTCCTGGTTTTGACAAATTACCACCTTTGTGTAACTTGTTAACATTAGGGGAAACTGAGGAGATGGCAACTGGAGGCTTTCTGTATTACCTTTTCTGAAAATACAAAATAATTCCACCACAAAAAGTTTATTTTCAAAATCTATAATACCATAACATGGCCCCAAAATAATTTGATGGTAAGAGAAGGGCTCACAGGTGAGCATGTCAGTTAAAACCCAGAGCAAAGGTCATTTCGTAAGGGCCAAGCAAGTAACAGAAGTGAGTAGTTTAGGCCCAGCAGGGGCTGGAGATTCCAGGTCCCCTCTAGAGGATCAGGTACAGGAACAGCCTGGCTGGGGCCGGTGATTGCCGAGTAGGAGTAGTTTGGGGTCATATGTTTCCAGATATTACATTTTTCCAGAGAAGCTGAAAATCTGGATATCTTTGCCTGAAATCTCCTTACTACTTAAAAGATGTCACTGATAGCAAAAATCACTATATAACTTCAACAAAACTGTCTATGGCTCAAATACAACCCATAATCACCATTTTGCAATCTTTGAGGCAGAGGTTTTTAAAAACCTTCCTGGAAATAAGACATACCCTGGGGGGCTAGGTGTATAGCTCCAGTGGTAAACACAGCACATGCTTAGTATGCATGAGGCCCTGGGTTCAAGCCACAACACACACACACACACACACACACACACACACACACACACGCACACACACACACGAAGTGAAAGAAAGCTCTTGACATATGTTACTGCTCCCTAGCTACTGACTCCTACTTGCATGGGGCTGGAGTTGGGAGTAGATCTGAGCTTGGTCTGCACCTCCCTTCCCCACTGTGGTCCTCCCCTGAGGGTCAAGGGACACACAGCTAATGGGGCTAGGTGGAGTCTGTCCTGCCCAGTAGCTTCTGCTTTCTTCTTCCATGCTTTGCATCCTTTCAGAGCAAAAAGTAAGGATTTTTTTTTTTTGTCTCACTGATGAAATTGCATTTGAATATCCTTATGGATCGGATTCTGGTAAGCTCTTTCTCTTGGCTAGAGTTCATTCTTCTTGAAAAACAACCCATAAAATACTGAGGGCACTCTGGGTTTCTACATCTTTGCTTTCAGGGAGTTTGGTATGGTGGGGGACTTCCTTCTAGGCTGGCTCTTAAGAGAAACAACTGAGGCTAAAAATGCATTACAGTTATGCTTCTTCCTTCCCAAGTGTATTATACAGTGGCTTTGTTTGTACCCTGCGTGAGTCACCTTTGCTAATGTAGTTCATTTCAAATGAAGAAACAACTCAATAGTAAAGAGGAGTCATCCTTAAATGCGGCTACTATGGAACCCTATGGGCAGTTCTGCAAAAATTTCACCTTCTCAGGACCCACCATGCAGAGGTCTGGATCCAGGAAGTTGACACTGGAGCCCAGGGAGGTACTGTATGCCGTATATAGGCATCCTTTAGTTTCAGGACCCTTCTCCCCAGATAGCAAAACCCACAGATGCTCAAGTCTCTTATATAAAATGGCACAGTATTTGTGTGTCACCTACATCCATCTTCCCATATGCTTCAACTGTTTCTGGATTATTTTGAATACCTAAAACAGTGCAAAGCTATATAAGTAGTTGTAATAGTTTATTGTTTAGAGACTAATGACAAGAAAAAAGTCTATACATGTTCGATCGATACAGGAACAATTTTTTTAAAACATATTTGGATCCACAGCTGGGTGAATCCATGGATGTGGAACCCCTGTAGTCAGAGGGCCCCCCGCATATATTTTTAAAGCTCATAAGGAATTTTAACAGTCCCATTTGGGATCCAGCAGTTGGAAGCATGTGAGCTCCAGCTGTGCACTTATATGTGGGTGGTACAAAGGAATGTTTGGCTTTTTTTATGTAGACTGTATACAACAGGGAACCTCCCCGCCACACTTTTTACGAGGAGGATCAGTGTTTCATTTCCTGCAGCCCTTTGCTGTCACAGGTTGAAAGGCAGCCAGAGGGCTGATGGCAAAGCCCAGCATGGAGTATGCAGGGCCTGGTTTTAAGTCAGACGCCCCGCTTCTGAGGGGTCAGGATTTGCCACTTAGTATCTGCATGACCCTGGATAATTCACTTCCTTTTCCTTCTCAGGCTAACATTGAAAGTACTTTCATTGACACACTTGAGTACTGAAAGTGATAATGGCATTTGCTAACCAGTCGGTGGAAAACTTGTCTAGCATGGGGAGGGTGGAGTATCTTAGGACGATGGCCTAGTCCATGGAAATCTATTCACTGGGCAAAACACTGAATCTATTCATCAGGCAGAAGATATAAGGGAGACCTATATGAGAGGATTCATTCATTCTTTCATTCAATTCATGTTTCCTGAGCCACTACTATTTGTAGGGATTCAACAAGGAATGAGACCACAATGGACCTTAGGCATGAAATGTGTAGTTGAGAAGACCAACTGGAAAAATCTATGGTTTATCAAGAGGATAAGATCTGCAATAAAGATATGCACAGAAGAGCAGGGAATGTTGCCTAGTCACAGTGTGGCCCTCATGATTGTCATTTGATTGTCATTTGCAGATTGGCAAAGTCAACACTACTCCTCATTCCTTTATTGGGTGTTCATGAGATCCTCTTCTCTTTCATCACTGATGATCAAGTTCAAGGATTTTCCAAACTTATACGACTCTTCATCCAGTTGACCTTGAGCTCCTTCCATGTAAGTCTGACTTTGATGCCTTGGCTTTGGAGAAAATAAAAATGCACATGCTCTGAACATGAACAGGCTCAGAGTTGAGAGCACCCATGGATGAAAATGGATTCCTAGCATCAGTAGTCTTCATTGGGGAGGTTCCTTAACGTGAGAAGGGCATGAAGATGAGGAAGGGTTGCCTTGATCCTGCCAGCTTGATTCAGTGACTCAGAAGGGAAAAACATTCTCTTTTCTGGACTGTAATAGTTGGTGTGACTCATGATCATATTAACTGTGAGTGTCAATACAAAGCCTTTTATTAAGGGCCTATTTTTGCTGAGTTCTTTCAAGGGCATTGTGCAAAGTGAGCCTTGCCTGCCCTGCAGGTGACATGAACACAGAACACAACACAACTTGAGTAGAGAGGAGTGAGCTCACCCTCGAGGCTCTTGAACCTGACAGATGTGTGTGGGCTGAAAGTAGGAACAAGAGGATGGCTGTGGTTAGATTTTCTGAATATTTTGGCTATCCATCGATTAAACTGCTTATAACTTAATAGCTTAAGAGGATCATCATTTTTTATTATTTCTCATGATTCTGGGAATTGGGAATCCAGGAAGGACGTGGAAAGGATGGTTAACCTCTGCTTATCTGTGAGGCTTGTTGGGTTTGGACCTTTCCTGATGATGGCTTCTTTACACATGCAGGGGCCTAAACTGTCACTGACTCAGCTAGAAGAAATTTCTGGGGCCTCCTTTCTCAATGTTCCTTACTTCCATATGGCCTTAGGGCCTCTCACTTTCTGCATGTTCTCCCCTTGCAGTCACCCTTTCCATAGGGTGACTAAATTCCTTATTGGACAATTTGGTCTCCCAAGAACATAAAAGCAAGAGCTGATTTTTTAGTATTTAGGCCTGCAACTGGCACCTTGATGTATCTGCTACATTCTGCTGTTGAGGGAAGTGACAGTCCCATCCAACAATAAAGGGTAGGCAACTTTACAAGGGCATGAATATGAGGCATGGCTCATTAGCAAAAGCCACTAATGCGACAGATGACTGTTAACAGCATGGACATAGTCAACCTCATACAGTAGTAATCTTAGAATTAATCACCTTTAAGTGCTAATGTAGAAGTAGCACTTCTGGAATGGAGAAGAGAGGAACTTGGCAAATCCTTTCCCCAAAAGCAGTAATAAAATTGGACATCTGTCATGCCTAGAAATCAACCAAAGACAGAAGAGAGAGGGGTTATTCAAAAACATTAATGAACTGAGTAAGAATAGTGGGAGTCTGTCATTTTTGTCTGTGGTTGCTTTTGTGCTCCAATCTCTGCTCCTTTGTTAAGGAATTTCTAGTGAAAATTCTCAGTTTCTGTGTAAAAGAGAGCTGACTTGATTTGGATCAGAGAGAAGGGAAATCTCACATGCCTTTGCATTACCAAATATAGTAGCAATCTTAGTGGCAAAAGGACAGAGAAGGTCAGTGTCACTGCCCAACAATGTCACTGCCTATTTAAAGTAAGAAACAGACTAGTGAGCTGGCCAGAAATTTAAAAGTGATATGAGGGATGAGACTGCAATAGTGAGATTTGATAAGCTCCCACCTTGCTTTCTGGTGGACAAAAATGTTTTGCACATGCACAAAGTTGCCTACACACTGAAGAGAGATCAGAAAAGATATCTACACATCCCTGGCTGTATATGAGTTCCTGCACACAAATAGAGGAGGCATGAGAGGACCCGGCAAAAAGTAAAAGTGAAGGAAGATTAATAAATGTCTGAGCTTTCAAATTGTTCCTGAAGCCACCCACAGATCCACTGGCAAAGACTATGGGAGTCTTAATAGCCCAAGGTGGCTGAGCACAATTTCTGATGAATTACAGCTGACCATTAAGCTATTATAAATGGGGTCAAGACCAGACTTACAGGAAAAAAGCAAAAATTTAAAAATTAGCACAAATATAACTGGCTATATACCACAGGGGAGACAGATTCCATAGAACTAGTAGTCCAGAAAAGTTACTAAGCCAACAAAAACCACCACTACTCCAGGAGTAGGAAGTGAGGAATCAAAATCCTGAATTGCTATAATATATTATCTAAGATTTCTATCTTTGGACAAAAATATATGAGAAGCACAGTGGAACTGTTGGGGGAGTGAGACATTGGAACTAGCAGATAGCAACTTCAGAGAAGTCACTGTAAATGTGTTCCAAAGATTAAAGGAAATCATCTTTAAAGAATTAAAGGAAAGTATGATGATGATGATTCATGAACTAAAGGATTTCCATTCAAACAGAGAAATTTATAAAACAAGACCCAAATGGAAATCTTGGAGTTGAAAAGTACAATAATTGAAATGAGCATATGACTAGAAAAATGAACTCTCAGATTTCAGAAGAATTCATGAAAATGAAAGTAGATCGACTGAGATTTCTCTAGTTTATAAATGGTAAGTGGGAAGAAAAATAGCACAGATTCATAGACCCATGGGATGCCTTTAAAAATACCAATATACAGTGGACTCTTAAGTTACGACTGGCCTGACACATGGACAACTTGGGTTATGACCATAATTTTAGTTTTAACTTACAAACTCTTGAGTTATGACCCAAATGCTGGCTACTTGTGTTTTCAGATGGTCTTAGTTACAGATTTAACCCTTAAAGAGTTCTGGAAGGAACATTACATTCTTTCTTTCCTATGTGGGGTTAACTGAGAAATCCTGGGTCAGTGTCTCTAAGGACACTGAGATCTGCTTGTATACAGGAGAAAGACTTTGAAGGCTGTGTAGAGGAGCCTGAGCCTTCAATTGACAACTTGAGTTACAATCAGTCCTTGGAAACGAATTGGGTTTATAAGTAAAGGGTCCACTTGTAAACATATCAGAGTTCTAAGAGAGAAGAGATAGAAAGGGAGTAAAGAAGTGTTAGAGAAACAGTGTTGGAAATGATGAAAAATATTAATCTATACATCCAAGAAGCTCAGTGAACTCCAACTAGCATCAAATAAAGATTCACACCTAGAAACATTACAGTCAAACTGTTGAAAGCTAAACACAAAGAAAAATATCTGAAAAGTAACAAAAGAATGAGGACTCTTTACAGGCAGGACAATTTACAACTGACTACTCATTAGAACAATGGCAATGATATGAGATATTCAAAATGCCAAAAGAAAAAAAAAACTGTCAATCAAGAATTCTATATCCAGCAAAACTGTGTTTCAAGGCCAAGGTAAAATGAAGACATTCTCAGATGAACAAAAACTCAATTTTCTGGCAAACACTCCTACACACAGTATTAAAGGAAATTGTCCAGGCTGGAAGAGAGTGGTAACATGTAGTAGCTCAAATCTATATGAAAGAATAAAAATTACTGCAAAAGAGTTAGTTGCAGTGATGCCTGCCTACAATTCCAGCACTCTGGCTGAGGCAGGAGGATCTCAAATTCAAGCCCAGACCTTTTCTTGTCTTTCCTTAGGTAATTTTATAGACATAATATTGTATAAAATAACAGTTGTAAGTTACAGTATTGGGTTTATAGCATATAAAGATCTAATATATATGACAATAATATCATAAAAGAAGAATGAGTAAATGGAGATACATTGGAGACAATTTCTGCATTTAACAGAATTAAATTAGTATTAATATGAAATTGTGACAAATTAAGATGTGTTATAATCCTTTAAATAAATACTAAGAAAATAACTTAAAAAGTAGTAAAAATGCCAGCAACAGAATTAAAGTGTTATACTCAAAATTATTTGTTTAACATGAAAGTCTTTCGGTCTCCTGGGATCTTCACAATGTCCCTGTGAAAGAGAAATTATTAGACCCATTTGAAGGATGAAAGAACTGAGGTGTGGAGACCGTGGATGTGCTTAATAAATAGCAGAGAGAGGTCAGGTCCCATGCAACTCCCTTGTAGGCCTATCACCACTCTGCAAAATGCCTTTCAGGTGTAGGGGAAGTGGGAAGGGTAGGGGAAAGGAAATAAGGGAAAAGAAAAAATATAAGAAAATGAAAAAATGGAAAAAAAAGTTTTTGTAAATAGGGAAAGGAAGAGGTGGTGAAGGGAGGGCAGGGTGTGTGAAAAAATGAGAACCAAGACCTGTCATGTAAAGGTACAAGATTCCAATGATGAATGCAACTGTACTGTATACCTAAACAGTACCAATAAACTCAATGAGGAAAAAAAAATGCCTTTCAGGACAGCCTCTAAGGGTCGTGACAGGAGACACCCAGTTCCTTAGATCACAGTCTGAAAGCCTTGCTGCTAGGCAGAGTCAGGTGCTGAGAATCTGTGCATAGAGCAGAGAAAATGTGCCTGTCCACCTTGTGCTCACCAAACACTGAGGCTGAGAAATGGTTTCAGTAGTTGGACAGGGTTTTCTCCCTTCCTTTTGGAGTTGAATTCTTTGTGGCTTTGAAGTGAGAAAGAAGACACACTGGTAACTTTTTTATTATTATTGTAAAAACATATTTAATTTATTTAAATCTTTTAGAGGAATTAAAAATCTAAGATTTAATAATTTGCATTTCTTATGTTGTTTGGCTTTAATCGTCTTTAAAAGGTAATCCCTAATGAGAGAGCAAAACAAAAACACCTAAAGCAAAGTCCTGCAGCTGTTATATCAGTAGTATTTGGTAGCCCTTTTTTCCCTGAGGATGTGACTGGTTTTTGTAAGCCCTGGTCACGTGATCTCATACAGCCAAAGATAGTCGAAGACCAGTCATTGAAATGCAGATATGTGGTGATGTCTAGGAAAGAAACCTAGCCCAACAGATTTCTTGGGTATGAGAGGATGTTTTTGTCATCTCTTGCTGTATATCACCCCAAACCTTCATGGCTGAAAGCAATAACCATTTTATTATTATCCTATTTTTTTTCCTGCTATGTAGTTCTGGCTGGCCTTGAATTCACTATGTAGCCCAGGCTGGCCTTAAAAGCTGTCTCAGCCTCCTGAGTGGTCATTGTATTATTTTTAATGATTCTGTGTGACTGAATGTCTGAGCTGAAGAGATACTATGTTTTTGATACGTGTAAATTTTGTCTGGAGCTGCAAATGTCTGAAGTCTCATGTAGGCTGCAACATCAATGATGTTTTATTCACATAGCCAGTTATTGTCCTGAACTGTTGGGCAGGAGCTCATCTAAGACTATAGGTCAGGGAGCCTGTTATCCCTATGTGGCCTCTCCATGAATCACAGACATCGCACAGTAAGGCGTCTGGACTCTTGGAGTATCCCAAGAACAAATGTTCTAAGAGGGAGGAAGTGGAAACTTCCAGGTTTCATAAGTCATTGTCTCAAAAGTCTGTACTTGTTGAGAATGCCACTTCAACCACATTGTGTTGGTAAAATGAGTTGCAAGGTAATCCCAGATTCAAGGGGAGGAAAGCAAGCTCCACTTTTTGATGCGAGAACAGCCTGAGCCTATGTAAAGAGAAATCACTGGGGCCATCTCTGGAGCCCTTCTACCACATGGCTCGTGGTTCTGTGACCAGCTGAGACTCGGCTCACCACCTCATACTGTGGGGATGTCAGGAGTCAAAGTGTCTGCAGGGTGTTTTACACCAAGACTAAACCAGAAACCACACTTGGAGGGTGTGTTCAGGGAGCAGAGCCTCCAACCTTTTGAATACTTCAACACTGTTTGCCTCATCCCACCTTCATGGTGTGCAGAGGAATATTTGGTGAATCACATCTTAGTGAGTCCACCAGCAAGAACAGGCATTAGTCATAAAAGACGCCGTCCCTTGCTGCTTTAGAGGATCGTTTACTCTTCCAAACATTTACTACTTAAAGAGTTTCACCAGACTCCTACTGTGAGCAGACCTGTGGAGAGACTGCCAAGTGATGGTTATGATGGTTATGTGTGAAGTGAGAGCCATGCGCTCTCTGGGGCCTACACATTTGCTTTGTCTAGAATTGCGAGCAGACGCCAGGATGCTCCAAACAGTGAAGCAGGAGCCTGAGGAAGTGCAAAGATACTTTTGTCATATGGAATCCTATTTTAGCTAACTTGTTTGAGAGCATTCTGGCATGTCGAAAGCTCGCTGTTCTTATTTCACGGCAACCACACAGGGAAGCTGTGAACCTCTGATGAGATTTCAAGTGTGAAAATGATTAACGGGTTCCACTATGCCCCTATTTAGAAGCTGTAGCCATGGAATGAATATCTAGGTGCATAAGAGAAGGGAAGTTTTGTACTTGTGGCCACAATTCAAGCATTTGATTGATGCATAGCTAGAATGGAGACCCTTGGCTTGGCCCCAGAAAAAAACATGCAGGAAAAACCTTCCCCCGGCACGATAGCTCATTATTTTCAAGAGGCATAGAAGGAGTCAGCCTGATATTGGGATTTTCAACTTTTATTTGGAGATGTGTCCTTTTCTTTTGAGTTCTGGAATCTTATGAGATTTTTCCCTAAAAACTCAAGTACTTGAGTCCCATACACATATCCAGCTTCAATATATCAGACCTGTAGCCCAAATTCCAGACCCTCCGTTCTATGAGGGAAAGCCAAGACATGTAGTTTATCACAGGAAGCATAGAAGTCTGGGGCAACAATGGGGAAAAATAATTAGCTAAAGCATCTTTGATTCCAGACCTCTGGAATAAAAAAAAAAAATTGGAAAAAACTTTCCAAATTCAAGAGCATATGTCTTTTTTTGAAACTTCCCAATATAAATGCTTTGTAAATGAAAATGCCATTACACAATGGCTTGCAATATTTTTAGTGGAATCTTTGTGTCTCCAATTCCAAATAACTAAGTAGAGAATAAAAGTGAAGCAGCTTGACATTATACGAGGCAAGACTCTTAATTGTAAGTGACAGAAACCCAACTCATTCATTCACTCACTCAACAAATATTTGGTGTGTTCCTATTATGTTTCAGACACTGTTTCAGGTGGTGGGGATCTGATAGTGAAAAAAGTAGGTAAGGATGCTAGTCTTATGTGTGTGGGATTAAGAAGAACAGATAATCAATAATATAAGAGAAGGACAGAGAATAGCCAAGTAAACAAATGAATAACAATAGAATCCTGGTGCTTTAAAGATAAAAATGGATCCCTGGAGTGGCTACCAAAAGTTGGATGCTCTGAAAAGACTTCTTTTGGTGATATTTGGGCTAAGAAACCAGTTAGATAGATATTTGAGGTGAGAAAGTTCTGGAAAACAGGAGGTGTGAGGGGAATTGGGGAAGAAGTGAACCGTGGTAGCCTCCAACATGGCTCTCAGTAGCATCCGGGCCTTGTTCAGTCCCTCCCACATTGCGAGGGGTTGTCTTGTGTTCCCATTAGGATGTTGTGACTTCCCAGATTAGGTCATAAAATGGATTGCAGCTTATGCCTTGCTTTCTAGGATGACCTCCTCTGGAGGAGGCCAGCTTCCATGTGAGGGAGACACTCAAAAAATCTACAGAGAGAAACCAAAGTTCCCTACCAATAACTACGTCTGACTTACTCATCATCATCCAGCTAAATGAGAAATAGGGAAGCTGGCCAGAAATATTTCTGATTCTGAAACCTGGAAGAGTGCACACTAATTAATGATCATTATGATATGAGGGGGGCAATCTTACCTTTTTATTTCTATGACTGTGACTATGTTTTACCTTGGAACTAAGATGCCTAACTGACATACATGTGCATCGATTTTTTTTTTTTTTTTTTTTTTTTTGAGACAGGGTCTTACTATATAGTTGAGACAGACCTGGAACTCACTATGTAGCCCAGGCTGGTCTTGAACTCACAGTGATCCTCCTGCCTCAGCCTCTCGAGAGCTGGGATTACAGGCATGCGCCACCACACCTGGATACATGTGCATCGATTTTTAAAAATAATGATCTTGAATTCATTTATGGTCTACAATACTACAATCAAAATAACCAGTACCAGCTTGCCAGCCACATGAGCCACTTGGAAGAAAGTTCAGCCTGTTAATGACACAGATCCAACCAACACTTTGACTGCAATTAAGAGTGACCTTTAGGGGCAGGGATTTAGCTCAGGGTTCTGCCACCTGCCTCACAAGCAAGGACAGAATTCAATGCCCATATCAAAAAGAAAGAGTGACCTTTTCCAGAAGCTTTTCCAGAAAAGCTAAGCCTTTTCCAGAACTTTGGCAATATAATATGTATGAGATGATAAAATCTTTATTGTTTTGATTCACTAAGTTAAGCAGCAATAGATCCCAAATACATGAACTTAACGTGCTGGAGGAGTCCAGAAGGCCCATGTGGCTGAAATATAGTGGCCAAGGGGAAGCAGAACATAAGATGAAATGAGCAGAGACAGAGCCTAGGTCACCCAGGACCTTCCATGGATGGGAAACCCCTGATGAGAAATAATCTATCTCTTCAAAAGGAATACTCTGATAAGAGAAAATGGTATTTATTATGTCACATAAATGAAATGTTTAGGACCAGGTACAGCTGTATACAGACAATATCACCAGAAATTTGTGCCTTACCATCTCTGACCTTGTGTTGGCTTCATCTTCAGGTGGGCTTGCTCCATGTAGCTGCAAAAATGGTAGCAGTGTCTCTGGGCTTACATGGTCTATAGAGCTGCCCAATGCAGGGAAGAGACTGTATCCCTCTGTGCTTTCCCTATTAAAACAATGCTGGTTGGCTGGAGATTTAGCTCAGTGGTTCTGCTGCCTGCCTCACAAGCACCAGGACCTGAGTTCTATCCCCGGTACCAAAACAAACAAACAAACAAAAAAACAACAACAACAAACAATACTGGTTGGCCTTGCTTGGGCCAATTATTGTAGTGATGGCCATCCTAAAACATGGGACCCACACTGCTGAAAGCTGTCTTAGAAGCCCAAGCAATAGAGGAGAGTCAGTTTCCAAAAGGAAAGAATGCAAATCAGACAACATAAACTAGCCAATGGCCACCACGGACAAGTAAAAATGAGATAGTGGTCTTGTCCAATATTTATATAACTGAATGATTATCATAGGGTCTTGGGATTTAATCATCATTGAGCTTGTGCATGCATTCACAAGCACCTAAGGGAACAGCTAGGCTGATATGGGTGGTGGATGTCAAGGTAAGAAGAGATGCCATGGAAATCTAAATTAGCATAGGATGAACTTTTTTTAGTGTGAGGAACATAGCTGCACACCTCTTCTGGAGGTTCCCTTGACGTTGCTGAGAGTTCTCAGACACATCTCTCAAGTTACAGTTCATGCCATGTCTTCCTTTCGTTCCAGGGATTCCTCGTGGCCTTGCAGTATGGCTTTGCCAATGGAGAGGTATGTTTTCCATGTGGCCTTTCTGAGGCCATGGCTGTCCACAAAGGTTTCTGCTCATGCTGAGACAAATTTGTATAGTGAGCATCTAGTGGAGAGAACATGAAGCAACCTTGATAAAGGGAATGGGTATGAGGAAACTCAGAACCCCAATCTGACCCTGCTGGAGACCCACCAGGATTAAAGTGTGATGGAGGAAATAAGCATGAACTCTGAGTTCAATCCTTGGCTTATCCACATAGGAGCTCTGTGAGTTAATCAGGTTACTGTGCCTTACTTAGCCTCAGTTTCCTTATCTGTAAAATAGAAATAGCAACTGTCCCTAACTTATAGTGGTACCCTGGGCACAAAGCACACAATTAAAGATCAATATCTAGGAAACATAATTTTGATTAATATTATTGCATGGATCCAACCAGCCATCTAGTGTGTTAGTCAGTTTATTTGTTATTGTAACAAATATCTGGGGTAATCAACTTAAAAGAGGAGGAAAAGTTTATTTTGACTCATGGTTTCAGTCCATGGTTTCTGGGCATCATTGCTACTGGGCCTGTGGCGAGGGAGAATGCTATGGTCAGGAGAATATGGTGGAGCCAATTCCCTCATCTCACAGTGGCAGAGAGAAGGAGGAAACAGCTCCGATATTCTGTGCAAAGGCCTGCCACCGCCCACAACTAACTTCTGTCCACTAGGACCCACCTCTTCAAGTGTCCACCATGTCCCAATAGCACCACAGGCCAGGGACACAGCTTTATTATATGGGCTTTTCGGGGTCCTTAAGATTTAAATATATCAACTGGGAAAAGGTTTGAAGAAAGGAGGGGCAGAGGCCAGAACAGGTGTCTTCTCTTGTCTTGACGAAATCAAGAGTTTCCAGCCCTTTTATACCTCCCTTGCTTTGAGTCCAGGTATACATATTCATTTCTGTCTCCTCCTACTAGAGATTCTTGGTGGCAAAGCCCTCTTTCCTTGCTCATTGTTTCTGCTTCTATATCTTCACACAGGGGTTCCTTGTCTATCAGGCAGGCATCAGTTGAAAAACTGCCCTGCAAGGGCTGAGGATTTAGCTCAGTGGCACTGCCTACCTCGCAAACACAAGGTCCTGAATTCAATCCCCAGTACCAGGAAAAAATAAAAATAAAAAACTTCAGTGTCTTTTCCTGAACTCAATATCTCAAGTTTTTAATTTCTTGTGAAAAGGACAAAAATTACAGTACTTTATTTTGAAGCTCTTAATTGGCTTTATTTGCAATTCTAGAACCAGCCAGGATTTTACTCTGTAAAATAGGAGTATTCCAATGTGCTGAGCAGAGGGAGCTCATTTTTTAAAGACAGAGAATGAAGAAAGGAGAAATAAAAAGAAAAAATCAGATTGGTCATTTCAAAGGGACAAGAAGACAGAAAGATAGAATAATAACAGATTGGTTATTCAGGGTACCTCTGTGTTTAATTAAGGGAAAGGGAACCTCATTTTCATGCCTCAATGAAACTGGCCTGTTTGGAAAAAGTTGGCTGTCATCTTTCTCTTCTGATTTCCTGGAAGGCCAGAGAGTTTTGGCCTGATGATGCGGGACATTAGCAGGCGTGACTCCATTTTGAATTTTAGTTTAATTTATGGGGGCCCAGGATAGGAGCTTAGTGCAAAACCAGGGCCCCCTGTAATGTTGAACAGTCCTTGGAGTGTGTTTTTAGTGGTCTCACGGTGCCATTTTCTGATATACTTAGTGTGTTAGTTTCCAATGAAAAGGTAAATTTCCCAAGGGTGGCACCAAGTAGTTATTCAATAAATCTTTGTAGAACGTAACAGACTCTGAGAACCAGACTCTGAGACCACAGACCCACCTTTGTTTTCCTTGGCAGGTAAAGGCTGAGCTTTGGAAGTCCTGGGCCCGCTTCTTGCTCGCCCGGAATTCAGGCTGCAGAGCCTGTGTCCTTCGGAAGAACTTCGGGCTCCTGGGGAAGTGTCCCAAGAAGTTCTCAGAGAGAGACGGCATCCAGATAATTCGCAAGCCGCAGGCCTCCGTCGACAGCTCCCGCCTGGCCTTACAGGGTCTGCGGGAGCTGGACACCTGGCCTCACCAGGACCACAGAGCCTGGCCCCGGGGCATCAGCCTTTCTGATAGCAGCGAGGGGGACTTCACTCTGGCCAACACCATGGAGGAGATTCTGGAAGAGAGTGAGATCTGAGGCAGAGGATTTCACTCCAGCTCCGCAGGCTGGGGACTCCTGAGAAGGACGAGGACGCAACATGCAAAGCAGGGTGGATGTGACCAAGTGCAGAATCGTTCTTTCCAATCCCCTGTGCACACTTGGATGTGAGGTCTAGATCCAGGTCCTTTAAGCTCTGAATGAACAAAGCTGTGTGGTGCTCACAGCTTCTGCCTGCCCGCCTGATTCATTCTTTTAACCCCTACCGGTATGCTTTCCTGGATGACCACCAGTCTGTGTGGTCTACCCCTCAATTCAAATGAATGGAGCCCCAGGATGCAGGGAAGTCTCCTGTTAAGTAGAATCTAAACAGTATCTCTTCCTTTCCCGCTTGTGACACATGGTTTCCTTTGGAGGTTGGGTTTAGGGTACACAAGACCTCCCTAGGAAGCTTTTTAAATGCAGAATTTCAGGTTGGTGGCTGAGAGTCTGAAAGAATGAATGTGGGATGATGGCTGGGAGTGGGCACTGTTTAACCGCTCCTCAAGAACTCTGATGCAAGCCCCCTTGGAAACACTGGACAGGATGTGAGGGAACACTGTGCTGGCGTGGCCCACGGCGGGGCCAAGTGAGTGGAACGCTGCTTGCGCAGTTCTGCTGTGAAACACCTGCCTCCTTGGGCAGTGTGCGGCCCCATGTCTCCCACCAGACTCCACTCCTTCATTGCTTCTCTTTTCCTCTGCTTCAGTTCTTCTCTTCCTCTCTCCATCTCAAGTCTCTGTCTCTGGTCAGCATAACTTATGTTTCAGCTGTCGTCTTACCGATCCTTGGAAAATTAGTCTTCTCTTCTCCTCTCTGGCCCACCTGCCTTTCCAAGCTTGGCTTCTGCAAGCCTGACTTGCTCTAGCACCCTCTGTACTTGGTTTGCCACTGATGAGTTGATGGCCATGCCTTCTGCTCCAGCTGTTTCTACTCCCCAGGTGGGTACCAGGGAGTGGCCCTGGAAGACAGAGGGTACCCAAGTAAAGTAATAGGACTCTGGCACCAAAAGGCCCAAGACTGTGTCAGCTGGGCCTTTGGGTCCTGTCCTGCCCTTGAGAAATATGAGTTGTGCACCAGAATCTGACCTAGGGAGACAGGGGAAGGCCAGGCAGTAGATCAGGCATGGTGGCTGAGCCCCTGAGCAAGAGTGTGAAGGATCATGAAGAAAGGGATAGCCTAGGGCAACGTTATGCTCATGTTTAGGAGTGTTGCTTCTGTAGTGTGGAAAATGTATGAGCAAGTGGGTGAGGTATGTTGCTGTGGAACTAAGTACAGCTGTGTCTTGTGTGTATGTAGAGGGTATGATACTTTCCATGTAGGGCTGCTGGCTTTAGAAAAAATAAACTGAGCTGGACTCAGTGGTGCATGCCTATTATTCCAGCACTTTGAGAGTGTGAGGCAGGAGGATTGAGAGTTTGAGCCCTGCCTGACCAAGCTAGTGATTTAGCCAAACCCTGTCTCAAAAAAAAAGAGTAAAAATTGTTGGGAGTGTAGCTTAAAATGAAGGTCCTGGATTCAATCTCTAGTACCTCAAAAACAACACTCCAAAAACATGATACTGGATCACATTTGAATTTCAGACAATCGAATCATCTTCTCACGTAAGTACATCCCACAAGGCATGCATCATCTGTCTTTTACCTGGCAACTCTGTTTTCAAAGATACTTTACAGCAGGTCCGGGACAAAGGCGAGACAGTTCTAACACTCACCTCTGAAAACTTCCGTGATCAGAATAAGTTGCACTTCAACACTTTTGGAAGTTACATCCACAAATTACAGCCCATGAGTCACCCCCTCACATGGGGCTGGGGTGAGCTTGAGGCAGGAGAAGCCAGCTCATACTAGATCCTGACCCCGACTTTACCTGAAATGTTGTTACTTGGTTCATCAGGGACTTCGTGACCCTGATTTTGACTTTTAAATTACTGTATTAAAATGTTATCTATCTCAACTCTGAAGCCTTTTGGCACCACCTTGAATCTTACACTGTTCCCACCTCTGGCTAGCAGGATGGGGACAGAAGCCAAGGCGTCAGGCAAATGCATAATGAAGCGAAATTTTATTTTTGGTGTTCAATCATTAAAATACATGTCCTTTCTGCACATGTCCCTCCCTTGGCCTGTCAGTTTATCAGCTCCTGGAAAGCTGGGAGCATTTCCTATTCCTACCACATACTCAGCACGGAGGGCTGACTACAGTAGGTACCTGGTACACAACCATCAAGGGAGGTTGGACAGAAAGTTCTCTAGCGAGCGTCAGACCCAGTCAGCAGAAAGTTACCAAGGATCCTGCCATGAGGAGGAGGAGAAAGTTCTATTTTATGTGTTCTCCCACCTCCCTCTGCAAAGGAGGGAGGACACCCACAGGGCTTGCTCTCACTCTAATTAGTAAAATGAGTTTAAATTGATTTGCATTTTGTCCATTCTTCTACGTTTGTCTCTCACAGGAGCTGAAAGTCCTCAGGGGCCTGGAGGTCCGAGTCACTATTTTTGGACAAAAGAGGGAAGAAATGGCTGTACCTTTAGGTGGTGATCAGATGGTCCATTGTTTTAGGAAGCAGAAGATTGGGCAGAGAGGGAGGGACCTGAAGCAGAGGTCAGGGTCAAAAGGGCAAGTAAGTGCCTCCCTTTTTTTGGTACCGGGGATTGAACTCGTGTCCTTGTGCTCACAAGGTAGGCAGTGGAAACACTGAGCTAAATCCCCAGCCTAGTTCCTTTTTAAAAAATAATAGCCATCCTAATGGTTGTGGTTTTGACTTGCATTTATTTATGAATGAAGATGTTGAGTATCTTTTATGTGCTTACTTATTGGTAATTTTTATGTCTTTTTTTTAAGAAAAATGTCTATTCATGTATTTGCCAAACTTTATAAATTGGATTTTTAGCCAGATGTGATGGTGAACACCTTTAATCCCAGCATGAGGGAAGCTGAGACAGGAGGATTGCTCTGAGTTCAAAGCCAGCCTGGGCTACATAGTGAGTTCAAGGCCAACCTGGATTACATAGAGAGACCTTGTCTCAAAAAGCATTGGAACTTTTTGGGTGGTTGTTGAGTTGTAAGAGTTCATTATATTCAGGGTGTTAATCCATTATCAGATACCGTATATCATTTGAAAATATTTTCTATCATTCTGTGGAGTATCCCTCTCTTGATAGTGTCCTTTAATGCGCAAAAGTTTAAAATTTTGTTAACGTCTACTTCATCTATTTTTTCATTACCTCTGCTTTCTGTGTGAAGAACACCCGAGTGATTTTAATATGCGATCAAGGTTAACACTGGATGAGCCAGAGGAGAAGGAGATGAATCCTTCCTTGAAAACTGCAATTACCTTGCTGAAGTCCAAATAAATCAATCCTTCCACCTGTGTAGCACTTAGAACTCAATTCTTCCTGAGAAACACTCAGAAGAGTCTCACAACTCTGAGTGATGGTGGGGGTGTGTCTAGCCCAATTCTGTGGTTTCTAAGGGGTGGTCATCCCAGTTGCAGCCTGAGACCCTGAGACGCAGACCGACTTGGGCTTTCCTGAGACGTCTGTCTGGCCACACGAACAGGGTGAGTGGCAGCAGCATGCTACCTCTTGCCCTCTGGCTCCATGGACAGTGTCTGAGCCTGGTGAGAGAAGAGAAGCTGCAGAAAAGTCTAGGAGAGGTGGCCCAGAAATCAATGACGAGAGCGATTTCCACATCACACGGGGCCTATGGGGTCCTTCTTACATACTGTAGCCCAGAAGGCACCCCAGGAGATGAGTACATGGCTTGGACTCATCAGAAACACTGTAGCCAAGACTGTGGTGGGAAATGTGGGACCTGGGGCCACCAAAGGCACCTAGCACTAAAGGACTTATTGGTGAGTCTGTAGGATGTGCCACCTGGGATGCTGAGAAATATCCAATGGGCACCATTCAGTTTGGATTATTGTTCTTAGTGAGATAATAATGTTTCTGCCCTTGTGTTGACATGTACAGGAGGAGGTACAGGAGTTACAGATGCGATTTCCCTAGGGTCTCTAGAGTAGACATCTATTTTTACAAACCTTCATTCTCATACTTACAGCCCCTCAATTTTCCCCTTGGACTCCACATACCTTCTACTTTCAGTTCATGAATTTTGAGTCTTCGTAACTCCATCTTCTGCTCCAGGAATAGCAATAAAAATCTCTAGAGCATTACGTCTTCTAGGTGTCAGATATCGGATCAGGATTGGACATATAATCAATCATAGGCAGGGAGACACATCCTGAGGCTTTGGTTGGAACTCTTAACAGAAAGAGATTGTTTCATTTCCACTGAAACAGGCACCATAAAAGAGCCTGAATCTGCTGTGAATACCTTGCCAGGAAGGAAAGAATCTCCCTGGGGATCATGATTATTCCTGTATCATGAAATACTGCTTACCAAGCCTTGTACAGCACTTGGCTTAAAGGATAAACCCAAGTCTTTATCCTCTTGTTCTCTCTCTACCAAGGGAAGTCTTCTCTGGGGATGGTTCATAAACCATCACCATGGCTAAATCTTGAGATATGGGGTTATCACCCACCTCCCAATACCAGCAGAGATTCTTCAGCCATAGGATATAGGCCAGAGCAACCATAGGTTATTTTAAACCTCATCTTGGAACTTAAGGCTGGAGAATAAATGAACCTCCTAAGCAATGAATGCAATGAAGTTGGAGAAGCCACTCATGAGTTCCTAGACATCCCAGGCTCTGGGCTCTGAGGAGGCAGTGTGGGCCAGAGGGGAGTGCTAGCTGGGCCTCTGCTTATCACCTGACTGATCCTGAGCAAACTGTTAACTGTTGCTGAGCCTTAGTTTCCTTCCCCTGTCTCTAAACCTAGGGCCTTCAAGGATATCTGTGTCTCAGTCTTCACCACTCACTAAGTCAAAATCGAACCCATTATTTGCTGAAATCAGTAACGCTGCCTGGTGTCTTAGATAATGTCACTGCTCACAGAGTGCTCAAGTCACCACCTGACTGCCATCCTTGCTCCTCTTCCCTCGTGTCTGCAGCCAGTCGGATGCATACTATCTCCTGTCCTCTCCATCCCTCCGTGTTTCCTGGGCCTGGCCAGGAAAAGCTTTATTGCCAACCTTCCTGCCCCCAGTCTGCTACTACAAATATAAATCCCTCCTACTTCCAACGGTATGGTCATCTTGCCACCCTCACGGTGCTGCCCAGCACTCACCAAGAGCTGCAGGGAGGTCTCTGGGGAACTGGCCCCACCTGCCTTTCAGGCTTAGCTCACACTTCTCTCTCCCTCCCTCTGCCCCCTGCCACCCTGGCCTGCTTACAAGTCCTGCACTACAGATGCTTATCCCTGCCTCAGTGGCTCGGTGTACCATCTCTGAGACTCAAGCCCTACCACCTCCACCCTCTTATCAGTCCACTGGGTCTGAATGTGTGTCCCTTCATCAGGAACATCCTCCCTCGTCCTCCCTGACAAGTCAACCCTACTGTTCTGCATCGTCTCCATGATAACCTTGGCCACTGGTTGTGGCATCGGCAAGATCCATCGTCCCCTCTGAACTACGGGCTCTGCAAAAGCAGGACTGTCCATCTTCTCAGCACTCTAGCTGGCCTAAGGCTGCAATCACAATGCATTCTTTGAGGTAGAGTTGGCAGAAACTGTTTCCTTTTCCAGGGGCAGAAAGACCAGCCAGCTGTGTGTCCAGTGCCTCTTGGATTTATTGGAATCCAGTTACTCAGCAATTCACAAAGGGGCTTAGGCAGGGCTAACATTTAGGACTTCTGTCACTTAATCCTAGGATTATGCAGCCCTGGCAGCTGGGGAAGGGGGAGGGAAGGCAGGAGTGATATGACAGGAGGGACAGGAAAGACGGGAGGAAGAAGGAGCTGGTAGATGGCTAGAGATGCTTCAGCTTGGCTGGGGGTCTGCAGGCTTCTTCTTTGGCCCTGGGTGTGCATGCATGTGTGTGCGTGCATGTGTGTGTGGTGTACGTATTCAAAGGTCTTTAAGTGAACAGTGAGGAGGAGGGAAGAGCTGAGCAGTTGGCCTCACTGTTTCTTTTCCTTTATCCTTTCCTTCACTTTTTGAGGCTCAAACTGGATCAGTCGCAGAATTTCCTTATTGGCCAGGGTCCCCTCAATGAATTCTTCCTCTGAAAGTTTATCTGAGGGTGGGGAAAAAACAGGAGTAAGGACTATTTCAAGCTGCAGTGAGGCTGACGTTTAGCCCATGTGCCCTGGTGACTATATTGACTGTGGAAATACCAAATACACAGTGCCCCCGCAGGTCTCTCCACCCTGCCAGATGCCGAGCTCCTGTCCACGATGGCTGTCCCTATTCACCAGCAACAAGAGGGCAATGGCCAGGACTGCAGAGGTCTCCAGGATGACCATCCCGGGTTCTGTGTCCCTTCGGATCTGCCAGCGCCCCTGCCTTGCTGGATATTAAATATACAAGTAAAAATAATAAGTATTCTCTTAGTATACTCTCAATATTAACCCAAATCTTAACCCTCAAGTTCTGGGGGGACCCACTCCGGGACAGAGCAAAGCCAAACGACCTGTGTGGCAGGCCCAGGGTATTTGGAAAAGCAGGCAACTAGTTTCCCAGGGAGTAGGGAGTGAGAGGTGAGGGGAAGGATGTCAGGGAGCCCCTGGCTTGCAGAAAGGTCTCTTTGGTCCCTGTGGTACACAGGCAGCCTCATGAGTCCCAGAAGCTGAAAACTTCTAGAATCCGTCCTCATATCCCCTGGTCTGATCTCCCACCTCACTCAGGATCAGGACTGAGAGCCTTGTTCTGTACTCAGAACAGCACTGCTGACCTGATTTCCACTGGCTTATGTGCTGGGCCTTTTAAGCATCCTAAGTCCATTTTGGGTTAGGATCCAGGAGGGTTCCCTGCAGGAGTCTGGGAGGTGGAATTTGGATTTGAGAGTTCCGACTGCCCCGCCCATCTTCTTGCTGCTCTTGGAACCTTGGAGCCTGACCTGGAGACGCGATGTCTCCTGATGGGCCGCAGGAAAACATATCTCCCGGCAGCCCTCTCACACCATCCACTCCTGCAATGGTCACATCGGTCGGTTTTCAGAAGAGCAAATATCACAATTACAACAGGAAACCTGACACACAGACTCAGAGAAAGGTTGTGAAGAGGGTTAAAGAGCCTCAAAGGCCAGTGAGTAAGTGAAGTCACAGGAAAGTGGCTAAGCGGTCAGGGTTCCTGTGGACCAATGGGGTGAAAGTGCTCAAAGGAGAGGTGCTGGGACCAGGGCAAAGCAGGTGACGTTCCTGGTCATAGAATCTAAGGAGGTGTTCACCGCTGGGTCATGAGAGCGCAGGACCAGCACCTGGGGGAGTGAGCGCCTCCTTAAGGGTTATGGCCTAGGCTCCCAACAATGATGTTCTGTGGCTTCGCCCTTTGGCTGCAGATTAGTAGGACCAGATCATCTCTGCCTGCCCTATTAAGGATGATGCTCGGGTATTTCTTCTTGAAGCCTAGAGAAGGAGTAACCCAGAAGTCACAAAAGGGGCCAGTATTGGCCCGTCAGATGTGTTTGGGTCTGGACATGTTTTATTAATTGAGATAATCAGAATCTAAACATCTCAATTAATGTTTAATGCTCTTTTTTTTAAAAAAAAAGTCAGATTACATGGCATCGGTGGACTTCATAATCTCAAGTGGAACATCTTGGAACCCTACTATGTATTAGCTTCTTCCTGCTATGTGTTAGCTCCCATCATTTAGTGGGGTTATGGTTTGTTTCACTCGCTTTCATCATCCAGGCCGCTGTGGCTTCTGCATTTTAGCTCCTCTGAATTGATGCCCGTTCCTCCACTTCAGCCTTCCAGCAGCAGCCATGAACATCATGAGTATCAGCTCCAGCTGCCAACTTCTGGAATCCATTGCTGCTTTCACTGTGAGACCACACTGCCCGGGGGCTGCTTTCAGACAAGTACTGAGCAGGTCAGGGGCACCTGGAGGACACCCTATCAATTCTTTCTAGAAATTTCTAGCCAATTCTTTCTAGAAAGGCCCTGCGGTTCATGATGATTCGTACCCACCCTTCCTTCCTTTCCTCTCTCCTTGGCAGGAGTTGGATCCGCATGACAGTCCGATGGCTTCCCCAGACTCCTCCAGCTCCCTCCCCGTTTCCCTCATTGGCCTTCCTCCCAATAGACCTCCAGCATTCTAATTTAAATCAAATCCCCACTTAGTGGTGCTTCTCAGAGAGCCCAAACTGAATTCCTAGAGTGAGATCAGATAAATTTAGATACATTTTCCTTGGATTGATGCTAATTCAAGGCTAAACTGAGCTGCAGTTCGCCCTTGTTCTAAGTGAGCAGAAAGCAATTTTAAAAACAAGTAAATGAAAGTGTCTAAGAGCAGATTCTTAATTTAAAAAGAAAAGCACTTGCGATTCCCCTAAACTGACCACTTGAATAGAAATAGGCAATGAATTTACTGCTTTCACATTTTGCTATTCCTTAAATGTGGGTTAACTCTGTTATAATGAAAGGTTTTATTGTTATTATTATTCAAAAGTACTCTATAATTTAAAAGTTTCTTTCCCAGAGGACTCCAGGTGGCAAATGAGTTTTGTAAGTGACAGGCCTGTGGTGGCATCACCTTCCCACAAGGTGAGCTCCAGAGTGGCAGCAGACCTGGCCACTGCTGGTCCTCCTGGCCACTCCCGTTTTAGGTCCCCACCAGAGGCCCTGGCAAAGCATGATGACAGGAAGTGTCCTCAGTCCTGCCTAGGTGCTATGGCTCAGAAGAATACATCCTGAGTTCTCTAGGAAGTGGCCCAAGACTATAAAATCAAAGACAAAGAAGAAAAAGGAATTCACCATCATCTTTCTTTCCAAAGAATGTCCAGATCTTCTCAGCCCGCTTTTCCGGAGTGTTTTCATCATCGGGAAGGTGCTTCATATCCTCAGGGTTGATCATTTTGAAAATAGCCTGTATCAGATCAAGAGAAAGTATGTGTTAGATAGAGGGAGAAGTAAGGAGCTGACCATCCTGGGAAAACCCACCTGAAACCATTCGCAAAATTCCCTCAAAATGGATTAAAGACTTAAACACAGGACCTGAAACTGTACATGAGAAAAGCTTTGTGATACTGGTCTTGGCAATGGTTTTTGAAAAAGTGGGATTATATCAAACTTTAAGAAAACATCTACATAGTAAAAGAAACAATTAACAAAATGAAAAGGTAACCTGCGCAACAGGGAAAGTACTAGCAAACCAGATATCTGATAAGGAATTCATATTCAAAATATTTAAGGAATTCCTACAACTCAATAGCAAAAGAATAAATAATCCAATAAAAATTGACAGAGGACCTGAATAGACATTTCTCCAAAGAAGACACGTGAATGGCCAACAGAGATACGAGAAGGCACTCAACGTTGGAGCTCACTAGGGAAATGAAAATCAAACCATAATGAGATCTACCATCGCACACCATGAAAAGGACCAGAGATGTGGCTGTGGGTGGCTCAGTGGTAGAGGATGTGCCTAGCATGAAAGACACTGGGTTTAATCTCCACAATGAAGAGAAAGAAGAGACAAGAAATATCAAGTGATGGCAAGGGTGTGTAGAAAAGGCAGCTCGTGCACATGGTTAGTGTGAATGTAATTGCTACAGCTGGTACTGGAAACACACTGGAGATCTGGAATACTGGGTCACTTCCATGACAACTCCCTTCTCCTGGTGCCCAAATAACCAAGCAATCAGAGTCCTCCTCAAAGGCAATGGGGGAGAAATACAGAAATCCAGATCCTCACTTGATCTACTCAATTAAAATTCCTGGAGGGTGGAGCTGAGGCACCTGCATTTTTGAGGTCCTTGCAAAAGAGAGGGAATATGGGGAAGGGGTAAAAGAAGGTTTTACTTCTTATTTTATATCTGCCTGTGCTGTTTCAGTTTTCTGATCATGTAGATACCATAGTTTCATGTTTTTAAAAAATAAGAACAAGAAAAATAAGAACTTCCCACTGATAATCCCACAGTAGCTCTAAGGCTGGAGTTTGAGAACCAGTACCTTAAACCCTACCACCCTGAGGTTTGGCATATCAATGGCTTCTTCTTGGCCTGTGTGGTGCCTTGCTTTCCTCACAGAACTGGTTTTTGGTAATAATGGCTTGCATTTATTGACCACTTAGCTGCCACTTTTCTAAGCCTTTTTTACTTCTCACCCTCACAACGATCTTCCAAAATGGCCTACTTTATAAATGAAGAAACAATGGCAACTAACTTGCCCTAAGTTATCCAGAAGACAGCAGAGATTCTAACCCAGGCAGTTTGGTTCTAGAACCTTCCTCGTGTGTCACACCAGAGTACGTTCATCTCATTGCTGGAACACACAGGATAAGGCTGGGGAAGGGGTATGCTAAGTACCAGTGAGACCATTCCAATGGTGTCCCCGGGGCACAGAAACCCCTTCATGTACCCTACCACTCTGGGCTCATTGAGCCTTCTCATCTCCCTCTCCCCTCTCTTAGCAAGGAGTCAACTGTGTCACACAGGGCAGAGCAGGGAGTGCTTATAAGATCAGGTAAAGGGACAAAATGGTCTTGGCATGCCCGTCCAGCCCCACAGCTCTAGGAGGATCCTATTGGCTCAATAACTTCAGGGCTGGTCCACAGCCAGAGATCTGGGTGCTGAGCAGGCTCAGGCTTAGGCAGGTATGTTGGGAGGAGAGATAGAAGGCTGCTACCTCTGTCCAGAGACTTCTTTCTGCCTCCTTGGGGACACCAGGAATAGGTCAGGCGCCTGCAGTGGGTCCTGTGAAAGTAGCCCAAAGTCCAAGGGGGTCAACAGCTTTGAGAAGTTCCCTCTCAGTCCCCTGATGAGAGCAGGGTGGGGTAGCAATGTCACTGGCAGAATGGAGTCTCTGAGGTGAGCCGCTCCATTAGTCCTGATTCACAGGCACCAGCTGTAGGCATGACCTACACATTACACACGTCTGCCCCACCCATTTCCGACATGGGTTGTGTGGTGGTGGGAGACACATTCAGACCTTCATAGCCCCAGGAAAGGCTATCAAATCCTCACCCTGGGCACAGGGACACTATATAGTTTTCCCACAGCCACACAGCCAGTTGGTGTCAGAGCTGGGACTAGAACTCATTACTTCTGGTTTCAGCCCAGTGCTGTAACCGTGACCTTGCTGCCCTGTGCAGGCTCAGCCCTCAGAGACTCTCAGAGACACTCATCCACACCTTCATCCTTCCTTCCCTCCACTCACCTGCCCTCCAGCTTCCTTTTCCTTGTGGAGCACCAACTTATTGGCCTATTCTGGGTCCAGCATCCTTCAGGTAGCTCTGAAGATGTGGGTCCCAAACCTCAGCCACTCAGAGACCACAGTGGCAGCCCGGAGGTTTCTCTGCAGGCTGAACCCTAACAACGGTGTGGGGAACACAGCCTGCCCTTAGCAGAGGACAGAGCAGAGCTCCAGGGATAACCACAGCTTCATGCTTTGCTATTTTATTTACAGGCTTTCCTAAAAAGGGTGGAAAATTTCCCCAAATAAAAGTACGATTACAAACACAAAAATACTGTATAAAGTATGAAAAATATTCTCCCTCCTAAGAGAAATGGAATTAGAAAAATAAAGCAAGTGGGATGGGGCAAGGAGGTTAAAAAGAATAAGTGAAAAGATATTTTTAAAGGGACTATAAATGACAGGAACAGGAATAAGTTGGGTGTGGTGGCACAGGCCTGAAATCCCAGCACTCTGGGCAGCTGAGGCAGGAGAACTGCATGTGCAGGTCCAGAGGCAACTTGGTGACTTGCAAGACCTTGCTTCGAAATAAAAAATAAAAAAGGGCCAGGCAAATAGCTTAGTGCAAAGGCCCTGGGTTCAATCCGCAGTACAATCAATCAACTAATCAATGTATGTTTAAATAATCTTATGGCAGTTCCAAAACTGGAATTCTAAGCAGCTATTAAAAATGATTTTGAAGATTGTGTAGTGATGCAGAAAACAGTCACAATAAAAGAGTCACTTAAAATATATGGCAGAAATCATGTGAATATGTTATAGTTCTAAAATGGTTTAAAATTACATAGGCAAAAGATTGAAAAGTTATACAACTATGTTCATAGTAGTTTTCCCTGAATGTAACAAAAGGCGATTTTAGTTTTGTTATGCATATGTTTCTAAATTTCATGGATCACTTATTTGTTAGAAAAAAACTTTTCCAGAAGACATCTAAACTAGTCAGAAGGAAAGGTGCGAGCCAGGGCAGCATGAAGAGCAGGAAGGCGTGTGGTGAGGCCTGCGGGGAGCTGAGAAAGTCGGAAGAGAGCCTGAGGCTCAGGTCCGGAAGTGCCTGCCTGGGTGAGGAAGCACAGGGAGACTCTGCTACTCCCAGCTGTGACCGCTTCCTACTTCACATCTGAAACATGCTGTGTGCTCAGCTGTAACTGTGATCGAACTGGAAAGTGTGCACTGCTGAGAAAATTGAAGATTCTGATGAAGAAAGGAGGGCGAGAGAGAGGGAAGGAGGAAGGAAGGGGAGGAATGTGGGAGGAAAGATGGGAGGGGCCGGGAGGGAGGGAGGAAGAGAGAAGTGTAAGCCGGGGGTGGTGCTGCCCACCTGTAATCCCAGCACCCTGAAAGGCTGAGGCGGGAGGATCACAAATTCAAACACAGCCTGGGCAACTCAATAGCTTAGCAAGATCATGTCTCAAAATAAAAAATGGCTAGAAATGTAGCTCAGTGTGAAGGCCCTGGGTTCACTACCCAGTAGTGCATGAATAAATACATAAATAAAAATTGAAAAGTAATACTCAGAAAATCCCAGCTTCCTCTTTGGGAAGAAGAAGCAGCTGTGAGAAGGTGCCTCTCTCTGCCCCTCAGCAGCCCAGGGACTCCGCCTTCCGTGCTCTCACAGACACCCCCACACCCTCAAACTCCAAGTCCCTCCATTCCGGCTGTCCCTCCTCCTCCTCCTCCTCCTCCTCCGCAGCAGCCTGAGGGCTTGGGGTCAGACTGACCATGACGATCTCCAGCACTTCGTTCTTGCTGATGGCCCCGTTGCCGTCCACATCGTACAGGGAGAAGGCCCACTCCAGCTTCTGGGTGGGCTTGCCCGCGGTGGTCATGTGCAGGGCCACGACGTACTCCTTGAAGTCCAGGGTGCCGTCGCTGTTGGCGTCAAAGCTGCGGAACACGTGCTGTGCGTAGGCCTTGGGGTCGGCGTCGGGGAAGAACTTGGCGTAGATCCTCTCGAACTCCTGCTGGGTGATGCGGCCGCTAGGGCACTCTTTCAGGAATGACTGGTACCAGGTGCACAGCTCCGCCTCTGTGAACTTGGTGTTCAGCTGCAGCTCCTCCAGGATCTCCTTGGACAGCGCGCCGCTTCTGCTGTTCCCCATGGGTGAGGACGAGTGGGTGCCAGCTGGTGGCCGGTGGGACGCGCTGTCTGGCTGCCTGGGCGCTGCCGGGAGCAGCAAGGCTGAAGTGCGGGTGGATTAGGGGGATTTGCGGCCGGTCCTTCCCAGTTCTTGGAGGGAAGGGGGCAGGGGGAGCTCCCAGAACCTTCCTGAGATTAAAATAAAGAGCTGAGAGCAGGTGAGCAAACCATCTTGGCCTGCTGGGAGGAAAGGAAGGAGGGGAGACCCTTGGGCCAGGGTGACCCATAGCCCCAACTCCACCCCTACTGCCCTGAACGTCCAGGCCTGTCTTCTGTGCTAATGCTCAGTGTCTCAGCGTCATGCGGAAACTTGTTAGGCTGTGGTTAAGAGCACGGACTCTGGAGGGCTAGAGTCCCAGCTTTGCCACGTCACTGGCCGTGTGACCCGGGACACTTTATTTATTTACTTGTTTGTTGTTTTGTTTTTGTGCTCCTGGGTATGGAACCTGGGGAGCACAGAGCACAGAGCTCCAGCACTTTGAATTATTATTATTATTTTTTCTTTCTTTTGAGATGGGATCCTTATAGATTTCCCAGGTTGGCCTTACACTTGCATCTCCCTGCCTCAGCCTGCTGAATAAGGGGAATTACAGCAGTATTCCTTAACTTCTCTCTGGTTGGGAGGTTCTCTTCATTCTTTGCCTTGGTCACATTTTGGCTTCAGTGTTACGGTCTTGTTTCCAACAGCACAACTGCTGTGCGTAGTCCCATCTCTATGGAAGTACTCCAAACTGCTCTCACCAGAGGCCCAGCTCCAGAGAGGAATTCTGTGTTGCTTCTGGCTACATCTGCATTGCCAGAATAGTGCCTGGCAGGTTTGGGCCCTCAGTAAATATTTATTGAATGAACAGGCAGAATAATGTCTCCTGAACTATTATGAGGCTAAAATGAGTCAGTGTGTGCAATAGAATGCAATAAACCGACCCTGGTGTGAGGCAAATACTAATCAACCACAGGCCTGGATTTATGATGGTTCCACTTACAGTACTATTTTCCCCCCCAGTGGTGTAAAATCCTCCTACACCTACTGGTTTTCAATAAATGGCATGAGATGTTCAACTCTTTGATATAAAGTAGCTTTGTGTGAGAGGATTTTGCCCAATCACAGGCCAATGTACATGTTCTGACCATGTGGTTAAAGTAGGTAAGTTAAGCTATGGTGTTCAGTAGGTTAAGTGTATTAAATGCATTTTTGACTTGGGATATTTTTCAGTTACAATAGGTTTATCAGGATGTAACTCTCATTGTAAATCCAGGAGCACTTGTAGCCATCTTTCTTATTGTTCATCAATAACAGGGAAATCCAGAAATCAGATTTTTTTAAACGCAATGTTCAGGCTTTAAATGAATTCAAAATTTAAAAAAATAAAATAAAAACCATGGAGGCCAAACACAATATATCTGTGGTGTAGTTTCAGCCTGCAGGTTGTTTTCCTCGCAGGGTGGTGCTGGGATCCAGTAGGTAATAACGTGTATTTTCTGAGTGAGCGGATGGATAAACAAACGTAGGAGGTGGGGAGCTGTGCACAGAAGGGCTCACAGCAGGCTGCGGCTCAGGGATGAACAAGGAACCCCAGAGGAGGAAGCCTCCGGGCACGCTGTATCCCTGGATTCTTGCTCCCCAGAGGGAAGGCTGGCAGTGCCCTTGGCTTATCTGCACACAGTCTGAAGGGAACACGCTCCCAGACGCAGCACTGCCCCCTGGGATAGGAAGCTGTTTCCTCTCTTTGGGGGTGAGGTTCATGAAGGATAAGGTCTAATGTCTTCAGGCAGGTAAGTGGGGTTTGTACCCCACTTCCTCGCAGGCTATTGGTGGAGAAAGCAAGGCTTCACTGCTGGGAGAAAGCTATCTTCCAGGCCCACCCACTCTGTTAGCCAGCTATCGCTGTGACAAAATTCCTGAGATAATCAGAAAAGGAAAGGATTTATTTTGGCCCACAGTTTGGAAGTTTTCGTTCAGTCATCGCCCCCACTGCTTCGGGCCTGTGGCAGCACATCACAGCATTGAGCGTGTGGCAGAGACAGCCGCTAGTCTCATGTGGCCAGGCAGCACGAAGACAGAGAGACATGAAAGGGCCTGTGTCTCCCGGCCCTGCTTCAGGGCGCACCCCCAGAGACCTAACTCTGTCACGAGGCCCCCCTCGGAAAGGTTCCACCACCTCCCAGTAGCACCGCAGGCTGGAAACCGCACCCTTTACACAGGGGCCTTCCAGAAATACTTACTTATCCAAACCATGCCCCCATCTTGACCTTGCTCAGGACAGACCTAGAAGGTCAAGTATCCAAGTGTTGATCTGCCCTTCCTGCCTACCTCACTGAGAGCGGTTCCAGAGTTCTCAGGAAAACTTAATGCTGCGTGTGTGTGCTTTTTAATTTTTTCACATTCACTTACGGAGCTTCCATGCAGCCTAGAGCAGCTCTGAGGCTTGGGGGCTAGAAATAAGGTGAAGCCAGAGGTCTTGGCCCGTGCTCTGAGCCTTGAGTGGGCGGTGAGAAACATCTCCCCACGTCACCTGTCTACAACAAGCCTGCGCATGAGGCCACGTCACTGGTGAGAATCAGGGTTCCAAAAGGCACGTCTCTGGCCGGGGTCATATGGGTGATCAGTGGCTAAGCCAGGAGAGCTCAGCTCTTCCAGCCCCCTGCTCTGGCTTCATTCACTACAGCTGCCTCTTTCCCAAGGAGGTTCTGCCAGGGTAGAGAGTTGCCATCTCCGTAGGTGAGGCTCTGGGGCTGCGTGACCACGGAAAGTGTCCTGGGTGAGGAGATAGGTGGCCCGGGGTTGAACAGAAGTCTTCCAGAGCCCCTCAGGCTTTTCTGTCCCTTTGAGGGATGAGGAGGAAAGAGGGAAGCAGGTCAGAAGCAGCGTAGTACAGTCCACATCCTTCAGGGTGCTGTGCCCAGGAGAGCCACCCCTCACTACCGGGGACCCAGGGAGGGGCCTGCAGGCAGCTGTGTTGATGCTGCTGAGACTGGGAGGGGTCATGACCTGGAGGTTTGTTTGAAAACCTGCGTAAACATTCTCTATCAGAGGGAGAGCTTCTGCTCCTTAGCCAAACAAGTTGTTTCCGATGATGTATAGTGAATGATTTGTTAAGTCTGAGTTGGGCCGTAAACCCTCCCGGTACCCCAAAGACTGCTGCTGTGACGTGAGAGCTGTTTGTGTCTCCCCCTGCCAGCCTCACCTGAACTGAAAGAAGCAAATGCTTGCAGGAGGCTGGTCCCGCTGCCCCTAAGCAGGACTTTGGTCTTAGCTGTCTGTTTGGGCTCAGACTGCAGCCCTCACCCTATTCCTCTACCTCCCCTGCTCTGAGCTAAGGACAAAGGGAGCCTTCCCCTTCAGAGAATCCGCACTGAGGGGAAAGAGGAATGGAGGTGGTGCGGAGACAGCCTGACGGCCATCTGCTTACTGTAAATAGCCATCCATCCTTCGGGCTGGCACCCTTGGTGTCCTCTGCAGCGCTGCCCTTTCTGCCACACCCCTCTCCCACCTGTCATCATCTTGGCACCTGGCTGCCCTCTGGGGACCACCGCCTCTGCCCATCTGCACGGTGTCAGGCTGTGCACCTGGCTGCTGGCATCCCCCGTGGTAGACATCGAGGACCTGTGAAGGCCAGCACAAGCCTGCACTTCCAGCCCTGTCCCACGGCCACCCCCCCGAGCTAGCCTGCTCCTTCCATCCGTACCAGCCACACTGGCCTTGAACATTTACTCTCGCTGTCCCCTCTGCCAGAAACTTGCTCCCATGACCTGGCAGGTCCCTGTGTTTGACCAGATGCCACCTTCTCCAGGCCACTCTCCCCTCCTGGTTAATGTAACAACTTACGTACCCTCACCCTCCCCTTTCCTCTTTTTGCTCAACACTTAGCCTCTTCTGCACCTGGGCAGTAGGACACAGCTGCTAGGTCTCTAGCTGGTCTCTCTCCCTGCTGCCACGTTAGCTGTGTAAAGGCAGGGCTGTTTCAGTCACTGATGCGCTTTCAGTGCCCGGGGCACTGTCTGGCATGTGACAGATGCTCAGTGACTGCTGAATGAGCAAAGAACAGCAGACAGCTACAGAGGTCAAAGGGAAGCAGAGGGCTGGAACTCATAGACAGAAGTCACCAGAGGGACGGGGCGAGGGCCAGCACGCAGTACCCATTTGGGTACCAACGTCCAAGGGCTCCGTCCCTTCTGTCATCAGAAGTAGAATAAGCACCCACCTGGGAATCCCAGAGGAACTGCCATCCATACAAAGGACTCCTATGAAGGAGAGTCACCTCGCACGACCCAGTGTCTCTGGACAGTTTCTTTTACATGGGAGAAATCTAAGCATCTCAAGTGTACATATGGAGCCAAGGAAAAAAGTGAGATAGCAGTAAACTCCCTGAAAACACTTCATAATAATGCAGGATTATATAAAGCAAACTCCTTCAAAATTTAAACTCTTGAAACATTTAATTCTTCAGCATTAATACACACGAGTACTATTATGGGGTGGGGGGTAGGTTACATCTTCCATGGGGATCAGATTTTCAACAGTGTTACTTATAAATTATAGTACATTGATTTTATTTACTGATCTAGGCAGCCAGAGGAGGGAAGGATATACAATGTGGAATAAACACATTCATACTGGAGTGAGGAATGCTGGCAGGAAACACAGCTTTGTAACATTAAAAATGTATAAAGTATTTAGCAAAAGTTACAGAAAACAGACCAAACAAGCAAGTTTATTTTGTTATAAAATTCCACTTTCATAGGGTTGCTGATGTGCTCGTGTCCACGAAGGCGATGCCTCTTGACATCTCCTTCTTAAGGGAAGGGGAGAGATGCGAATGCGGGGCCTTGTCACCCAGGGTGGCTGGTGTCCCTTGCAATGTCTGCCTCCGGGGCCACCCTGCTGCCTGCCGAGGGAGGTGGGGGGAGGGAAGCACCCCCCTTAACAAGTGAGCACAAAGGTTCAGGTGCGGGTCTGGTTTTGGGGCACAGGACACACGAGGCAGCAGGGCGGGAGCGGCCTGGCTCTTGCTCTAGTACCACGGGCTCTTCTTCTCCGTGTCCGTGTCATGCCGTCCCGTGGGGCCTTGACCTTCATGTTCCACGCTGTGACTCAGTGAGAAATTCTTCCCCAGCATCACTCAGAGTAACCAAGGGTCACCCACCCGAGATGCTCCTGACAGAGCCATGCCCAGCACCCAGAAGTGAGGACCGACCTGACCGTCATCTGGCCTCACCCAGGAATGTCCCAGTTCCCGTAGGGGACTCCCAGTTGCCTTTCACTGCGCAGGACATGATTGAGACATAGCTTGGACGACCTCGGGGTCACCCACAGCCAGGCCTGGCCTTGGCTGGGTTTGGTCCCGTGCCTGCCACCATCTGCTACCACCATGCTTGCTGGGTTGTGGGCACAGCCAGGCTTAATGTGGCACCAGCCGAGCAAGGCTCCAGCATCAACTAGGATTCCACCAAGGTGACTGCATCTGGACACCTGTCCTGGCTCCTGAGGACAGATCCAAAAGGTAACAACTAACAGTTTCTACGGGGTTCCTGAGGAACTGTCTCATTCTTAACTCACAAAACTCTGCAGTTCTCTTTCAGCCTGGATGGAGAAGTGGCCCTCACCAGGATTTAGACAACTCTCTGCCCAGCTGTGCAGGTGACATCCAGATCAGGCACAACTGTGTACATGGGGCACAGGCTGGGAAACAAGACGGAGAGGAGGCAGAACACAGCAGTGAGAGGCCCCAGAGACCACCTAGAACAAACGCCCTCAGCTGGCACAGGAAGCCGCTGGGGCTGGGGGAGAGCATGATGTGGCCCAGGACCAGTGCCAGCCTCTTACCATGCATCTTTCTCTCAGCCCTCACAGCTCAACACTAAGTGATTGCAGGCTGGGAGCACAGGCACCGCAGCCAGGGATGCCGGCTTCAGACTGCAGATCTGGAAGGCTGCTACGACCCTATCTGTCACTGTCCCTCCAAGCTCTGGCTGCTTGCTGCACTGGAGAAAAGTTAACACGGACCAAAAATGTGAGTGTAAACCCAAGAACCACTTGTGGGCACAGGAGGCATTTGGAGAAGAGCCCTGGGAGCAGTAAAATGCAGTGGGTTCCTAGGCAAATAAGATGAAGACCCAGGCCATGGACTTCCACGGCTAATTCACTTTTAAAACTTTTTGTGTGGGCCACCTGATGCAATGGAATACTACTCAGCAATGAAAAGGATTGTACCACTGTTCTACACAACATCCCGGACCACTCAAAAGGCTATATAGCAGTGTGACTCCACTTATCCACTACAGGATATTCTAGAAAAGGCAAAACTATAGGGTCAGAACATTTACCAGGCTTGGTCCAGAGGTGGGAAGAAAAAACTGACCATAATGGGGTGGGTATGAAGGGGTTTTCTTCTTTATAGTGATGGAACTATTATGTGGATTACGGTGATGGTTACAAGGCCATACAAGTTTGTCAAAATTCGCAGAACTGTGTACTTCAAAGGGGTGAATTTTACTATGTAAATTACATCCTACCATCCGGGAAGAAGGTGTCTGTGAGTTGTGCAGAGGTGGGAAGACCCATGAGCATGACAGGCTGCTGCTCTATCCCCCACCTGACATTTGTAAAGTGCTTTCTTCTACCTACAGAATAACGAACAGGTCTTACAAGTGGTCTGTGTCATGACTACTTGAAGCCGAGAGTAAAATCCCCTAAACAAGTCATGGCCTTTTTTTTGACGTCCTTTCGATTTTACAGCTTGTATTTCCAAGAAGGGACTTTGGCTCAGCCAAAATTTTTATGTAGCCATCCACTAATCTAGCAAAGGGAGCAGAAACAAATCCCTGGTCATGAATTCACAGTTTCTGTTTGCTTCGGCCTTTAGTCAGCCTTGCAGAGCAGAGAAGTCCCTCCTACCACAGAAATTCCCGAGGTGAACAGGCCATGGAGTGGAGGTAGGAAGGGGACTCCTGGGGTTCCCCTGACAGAGCCTCGGGGGCAAGTTACTTACACATGGCTCACCTGGTCTGCACACTGCAGTACTGCCCAAAAGCAAGAAGAAGAAAAAGTAAAAATAAGGGTGACAGGTGGTTCTTCCTAGAGGCTGTCATGGCAACTAACTCACTTTGAACACCATTTGTCTTACAGAGATTTCTTTTTTAAACAAGTTTTTGGGGTGAGATGTACCTCAGTGGTAGAGCACTTGCCTAGCATGAGTGAAGCCTCTGATCAATCCCCAGTGCCACAAAAACGAAACAAACAAGCAAACAAACAAAAATCAGGCTTTCACAGACAAACCTAAGTGTATCAGGTCTCCCAGGTGGAGGCAGGTACCAGAAACCAAACAACAGCTGTTTACTCGCCCTGAATAAACCCAGCCAAATCCTCTCATAACCCAAGCACCAAGCCAAACACAAAATCATGCCAAGAGGCCCAGGGATGCAGCTCGCTGGTGGAGTGCTTGCCCACATGCACAAGGCCTAGGTTCCACTCCCAGCACCTTAGAAACAAAAACATGGGCCCATGGACAGTGTGCTTCTTACTCCAAAATACACTTTAGATTTCTAGACTTCCTCCTCACCTTGATTTTACCCACGGCTGGGGGAGGTCCTGTTAATAGAAACGCGCTTGGATGACTCCCCACATCGTTCCCCAGCACTTGCTGGCTATGCTTGGGCTTCATCCCTCCGATTTGTACAGCAAGGAGAGGTGGTTAAAGCCGCCCAAGGAAACCTGTGAAATCGAAGCTGGATCTGGGCCATGAAGGTCTGGTGACTAAGGTGATTAAATCATGTTGCTGCCAACCTTCCACTCACTAGATAAATAGCTCATGGCAGTAGTTTATAATTAAAGAACCCCACTGGGTAGATGTGGAGTGAGTGACGTTCTTCCTCTCTAGAAAGCTCTAAACAGTCTGCTGTCCACGGGGAGAGCAGGGGACAGAGAGAGTGTTCATCTTACACTCAGCTACAGGACTACCACCCGGCACGACGAATGAAGGAATGAACGCAGATTGATCAGCACAACAGACAGTACCTCTGCACATCTCAATTCTCTAGAGTACTTTTATGTCAATGCCAAAGTTATCCACCTGCCAGGCCACTGGGGAAAAGACAAATCTACCCCAAACAAACTCACAGGCTTCTCCACGGCGGAGCTGTACCTCACTGTCAGATTAGATCTCGGCACACTGCTCGACCTTAACTAAATGTGTGATGACTGCACTGAGGGAGGGAAAAAAGAGGAGCTGTAGGTATGAGGGTGAGGGGACCAGGGGAAAGGACTTCTGAGAATGGGCCAATTTGGACTACACTGTAAGGGGCAAGGACTCACTCCATCCCAGGGCCAGAGGACTCAGGAGCCTGCACACGGGAAAGAGAAGACGTCAGTGAGTCATACTGCTCTCAAAATATCTGTGTTAATTACAAAGCTGTTGGCTTTGAATGCTTGAAAATCATCCACAGATCAGTTTACCAAGCCACAAAGCAATTACCACTAGCACCTGTTTTTAATAAAGACACCAAGAAATAGTATCCGAAAATTGGTAGCTGGTATCGTAGCCCTAGCCCAGATCTAGAAGGAGCAAGTTCAGATTCTTCTCCGTGGATGCAGCTTCTTCCTCACATGGACAGCCCCCAACCTTTACACTGGTGGACACCTTAATGCTGGCCTTTGGCTTGGAGTGCTTCAATAAGAAAAGTGAGTTTCATGTGCTTTAGTATGTTAGACATCTTTCTGATATAATTTACAAGAGGCGCCAAAAGATCTAAGAACTAGAAGGCATCTGTTACTAGCACGGGAGATGGAAGATCAGTAAGCTGTGCTCATCAGAATGATACCCTCTTACACATGCACACGCACGTGCATGCATGCACACACACACACGCACGCACACACACACGCGACTTTGCAAACATCTCTCCTTTAATTAGTGCTGATTTGCCTATGGCACATGTTTTAATGAATCAGGACGCTCCAGTGTGAAAGCAGACTGCCATCTTCAGAGAGAATTCCTCAGACTTGTGCTAGGGCCTGGGCTTGGGTAGAGCAGGCCCTCATGGGAGATGCATGGGTCAAATGCAAAGTCACCGATGGGAAAGCTGAGGGAAGCTGGTAACTAGGGCTCAGGCTCCCGGCTCGACTCTGTCCTTGTCACTACATGACTTCTAGTTGCCCACACCTGTCCCGCTCTGACAGACTCTCTAGATTACCATGGCCAAGAACACACTTCTTATCACAGAGGGAAGGAAGAAGTGAAGCACTGGACCCAATGCCAGGGCTGAGACTCTGAGGTCCCACTTGCCCAGGCTTCTCCAGGGAAGATGGGCAGAGGGAAGGGAGGTGCTGGTACCTGGTGAGGCTCAGCGCTGTGATGCTGCCTGGATGTTAATGACTCACTGCGGCCATGGCAGTTTTCAGTCCCCGAACAAGGGCTAGCAGACCCAACTCCCTTGTGCATAAGCACACAGAACATCTGGAGATGGCCTGAACTCGGCCCAACCTGTCTCCTGTGTGGGACTTTCCCAGCCCCGTGGATGGTCAGCCCAATGATGCAGAGGCAGTGGGCAGACAGGCCCTGCTGGTCTCCATGGCTGGCTGGTTTCTGAGATGAGCTGGCTTGTTTCCGTGGACACGCACACTGCTGGATGAGATGTTGCTGGCTGAGAACTTTGGAAAACTTCCTCTGCTGAGACTGGGATGGGGTAGTGGGGTGGAAGAGAGAGGAGTTTCCTGGGGAGATTTTACAGATAATTCCTGATCTGGTAAGAGCCATGACTTAATGCTCCAACTTGGGGCTAATTTGCCAAATGAGGTAGTTCCATCCTGACCTCTCCAGGCAGGGTTGGTCTGGGAAGACAGAAGCCAAGCCTTCTTCCCAAGCCTGCTGGGGATGAAAAGGGGTCAAGAAATTCAGGTATGGGTTCCCAGAATGCAACTGGAAAAAACAGAAAGGGAGGGCTGCAAAGGATTCTGGGTGAGGGTGGAGAGCTGAATGGCATCTTCTTACACTATTCTGATGCTGGTTTGGACACAGACACCTCCCTCCCTGGGTCTTCCAAAGCCTTGGAGACAAGGTGGGCAGCTGGAGGACACCCCTTGGAGCATCCAGGAACATAGTCACTTCATGGGGTTCAGCAGGGACCACAAAGCTCCAGCCTCAGTTTGTTCTCAGAGCCACAAGCACAGCATGGGAGTTGGGGAGCTCAGAGACACAGGCAAGGTTGTCGTTTTGGTTGGGGAATACTGGGGAAACCGCAGCTGGGCTGTCCAGGTCGCCCACCCTTCTGGAACCACCAGCTTTTCCCCCTCTCCTCAGTGGACCAGGAGAGCAGGTGGGAGGGCAGCTCCACCCAGCGGGAGCCTCCACCCCCTCTCTGTGGGACCCCAGCCCCTCTCCTGGCAGGACCCCCGGGGCCGCCTAGACCTATCTAGATCTCCATGTCCACAGGGCGAATGTTGCCCGTTTTGTGCTCTCTGACCCATAGCTCCCTGTCTTTGGCTGGGTCCACTTTTCGAAGCAGCTGATCCACGGGCTCGACTGTCTGCAAGGGACAGAGAAGAGGGGACACTGTCAAAGGTGGCGGTTGAGCTGGGGCTGTTTCCTCTGAGCCATGCTGCTCTTGCCTGGGTGCTGTTCAGAGCAGACTTTCTAGAAGGGTTCATGGGAAGGGCGCATCTGAAGGACGGAAGGAGCAGAGGGCTGTGGGAGCCGGAGCCCAGAAGAGGTCGCCCCTGCCTTTCACCCTGTAGCCCCTAGGCCTGGGTGAAGGGCAGAATACTCCAAAGATGTGTGGCCTATGACGCCCTCCTCCGTGTGTCTCCTCTTCATATACCAGCAGAGGACAGGACACATGGAGTTTACCTTTATATATTTACGAAGTCGTATTTTTGTTTTGTTTTGTTTTTTGAGAAACTCATCAAGGGAGACAATAATGTCTTCAGCTACTTTAACTGTATCGAGTTTCTTCCTCCTCGGGTAACAGCCCAAGGGGGCATGTGACCCACATGCTAGGGATGGACCATGTGTTCACCCCGGGCAGTCTGATGAGTCCATCCCCAGGGGTCATTCACAAGTGGGCGCCTACTGCCCACTGCTGGGCAGATCCGTTGGCAGAGCCACTTAAACTGTCATCGCACAGTGCCAGGTGGCTGTCCCCTGGCCCCTTGCCCCCTGGGGTGAGGACTCACGCTTTGGTTGAACATGTCCGTCTCGTGCCGCAGCTGTGTGTACTGGCACAGATGCTGCCGGATCATCTCCACCCTCTCCACCTCCAGCCGCTCCAGCTCCTGCCAAGGAAGAAAGGACCAGCGACCTCTGAGCATCATCCCCAACCCAGGGACCTTCCCACTCAGTGGTCTCAGACCACCATATATCCAAAGCACAGGTCCCCATCTGATGACGTCAACTCTGTCTGACCCTCTGGGCTCCCAGGAAGCTGCACTCATCTCTGGGGTGATGGTGAGGTTACTACAGTGGCTATTCCTTTACTTCTCCGAAAGCTTCCTCTGCCAGGAATGGTGAGAAAAGCCTCAACAGATGTCACCTAATTGTCCTCACTGTAACTGTGAGAAAGAAGTTTTGTGAGTACCCCAATTTTCCAAGCTAGGGAACTAACACCTAGAGAGGGAATGTCACTTGCCCAGGGTGCTATGGAATTAAGGAGTGGGAAGTAAAGCAGGGTCTATCATGTTCTTAATCATGACTCCATATGAGCATAGCCCCAGTCCTAGTAACCCAACAGGGTGTGGCACTGGGCCTCTCAAACTCTTGGGTCTTTGTCTTTGAGCCTCTGCCAAGCAAGCTTCCTCCTCTGCCCACCATAGTGCTGAAGGACAGAGCAGCACAGACGGGGGAGGCAGAGGAGGCTGGAGGGGGAGCAGCTGTGTATCAAAGGGAAGAGTGGACAGTGCTTGTCCTTTGGTTTCTAGATAGTTCGTCTTCTTGTCTTCGGAGTTTAGGGGATTAGGTTATTATTCTGTGCATAACTAGGTCACTGCTCAGGTGATTAACCAGAAAGGGGGACAAAGCAGGGGGCTTAATTAGGGGATTAGGGAGGAAAACCGGGTCACTGGCCCTGGTGGAAGCTTCTAATCTGCCCTGGCGGGCTGACGCCTGGGGAAGGCGGCTGCCTGGTTCTGTGCCGGGTGGACAAGGGGCAGCTTTGGGCAGTGGGATGGCGGCAGGAGCAACACTGGCTCCTCTCCCACCCATGCAGGCCCTGAGCTGTGAGGAGCTGCTGCCCCTTTAAAGAGACTCTCAGTAGAACATCGTGAGCCCAATGCTTTGGTCAGATCCCTACCCCTTGCCCTGCACTGCTCCTGCAATCTCACTTGGACAGATGCTGGGGAGGATCCCCCCTCGGGACCTGTAGCTCTCCTGTGTGTATATGGGTGGGGTATCACTCTTTCTACTACTTGGCTGTTTCAGGGCACTGTCTGGCTGATTTTGACCCTCAGTGGTGAGCCCAAGGAGGGTAGAGCAGGACCTGGCCCTCTCCCAGGTTCATACAGCAGGAGGCACTACAGTCCCTGAATGCAGAGACTGCCCAGACTAAGGTCTTGACTCTAACTTTGGAGCAGATCTAACGACCACCCCTACGGACACCTCTTCTCCATCCATCTACGCCATCGCCACCCACCCAGGGCACCCTCGGTACTAGAACAGTCATGTCCTCTGGCCACATACCAATGTGGTGGTCACCATCTCTTCAAACCACTTGGACTGGGCCTGGTTGTAGAGGTCCACACAGCGCATGAGGTCATCTCCTGGAAAAGCCAAGAGCCGCCATCATTAACACGGCGTCTGCTCTGTTCTTCCCTTGCTGTGCTTCCCTTCCCCACCCTTGACAGCAGTCTGTCTTCACCTTCCCTCAGTTCCAGCAGCCACTGGGAAGTTAGGGGAGGAGAGGAAAGCAGGAGAGGAAAGGAAGGAAGGGGGCAACTCAACACCTCGGGAAACTAGTTTTAGAGCATCCATCTAAACTCAACCTCAGATATCAAGAACTCGAGATGGGTGCCTCATTAAGAATGTGTTTGTGCCCAAACCCAGGCCCTAGCACAGGTCTGAGAAATTCTTCTCTCTGAAGATGGCAGTCTGCTTTCACACTGGAGCGACCTGATTCATTAAAACATGTGCCACAGGCAAACGAGCACTAATTAAAGGAGAGATGTTTGCTAAGTCGTGTGTGGTGTGTTAAGAGCCTATCATTCTGAACCACAGTGTAATGTGCCTGGTGGGTATGGCTGATTCACTGTACAACAATAGAACAAAAACCTACCCTGGAGCGCTACACACCAACTTCAGAAGGGTGGTGACCTTGCGCAACAGAGAAAGGGAGTTGGGAGGGGAGATGAGCTCCTTCCACAGCATTTTATTCTGTAGCAAGAGATCTGAACAAATGTTACTACTAACTCTTGATGGCTACTCTATTACCTTCTATTAACCCCGTGTATGTCTGAAACCCTTTGGAGTCAGAATCAGAACAACCTGTAAAGTAACTGTAAACATTACTAAATGTGTCAGCACCTTGGAAACCTGCAGCAAACATAGTCTGTGGAGGCAGTAGCAGCAGCCCCAGGAGCTGGCAGGAGATGCAGACACCCAGGATGTGGGTTCAAAGTTCCTCCTGTAACATTGCTCTTGCTCATGGGCCCTTCTGCTAGGAAAGTGAGTGGTACCCACGCACCCCAAGGCCTCACTCGGGAGCTCTGCTCTCCACCCAGAGGCCACATGACCTCTGCCAGCTGGTGGGGACATGAGGCCGCATACAAGGGCTGAGTCCTGAGGAGAATGCCGAAGTCGAGGGTTTCGTTCATTTGGCTCATGGTTTGAGGCTACCGATGGGACCTTTGACCCCAAGAGGCACTGGGCTGGAGGAAAGGAAGGGGATACCACTCTGCAAATGCATGTCCACCAAGAGCTCGTGCCTCCCTGGGACTGCGGTCAGTGTGTCACCTGGGAGGGGGCAGACACAAAACTCCAGAGCCCGATTTACTGACCCCAATTTTGAGGACGTACTTCAGGAAGTTCCACAGCGCCAGGAGCCAGCGGGCAGAGGACAGTGTATTTCCTCTTAGAGGCAGCTCAAGGGTGGGAAATGAGATCCTCCTGAGCACTGTCCCCTGAGAACATGGATTCAGGAACTAGAACTCCTGGGCCATTGGCCCTGCTTCACCAGCTCTTTGCTGTGTAACCTTGGGCGTGGAAACTAACCTCCTGCTGTGCCTCCTCTTTTCCCATCTGTACAATGGATATGATGTCTGTATCTTCACAGGGTCATTGCAAAGATTAAACAAGTTGCATAGGTACAACGTACAGTGCCTGGGAGGGAGACCCGCAGAGACAGCAAAGTGTATGGTAACAATGTTGATTATGATGAGCTAAAGCGAGCCCCTGATGATCCTGACTCCCTTCTTTCCAGTAACCTCACGAAAGACAAGGGAGAGGGAGTTAGGGACCAGGAAGAAAGAAGTAGTGGCATTTTCCAAGCAGCCAGGCTGTCCAGAAAAATGCTGGAAGCAGAGCCTTTGGAGTAAGAGAAAATTGAAGTTCTGGCCCTGAACGCTACAACTGTGTGTTGGGCTAGTTTCTCATCCTCTCTCCTATCAGTTTCCTCATTTGGAACAGACCAGGAAATACCTGTTATGGAGGAGGTGCTCTGACAATTAAGAGACAAGGCCCTAAGGCCTGGAGCCTGGGACCCGAGACAAAGGGTTTTCGTTATTTATTTTGCAGTGGCTGGGACAGAACCAAGGGCTCTATTGCTGAGATACACCCCAAACCAGGGGCTTGTCGGTTTCATCATAAAATAATTTCTGAGTAGAGGAATAAGAGACCTTGTTATCTGAAGAGTAACAAATCCCTTGCTCATGAAAATGTAGAGCAATTCTTACCTCAAATACGAACTCAAAATCTAAATAACAAAATCCCTTGAAAAATGGCAAAATGAAAATGTTGTGATCAGAACCTGTGAGGATTAGGACACGGGTAAGAAAGAAGGAAAGTACAGTGGGTTGCATGTTTCACAGCTAAAATCCAAACTAAAACAAACATAAATACCCGAACCCTGCCCTCTATGCACAAAAACATTTTAAAAAAGAAAACAAGTTTGACTTTGAAGGAAACTCTCAAAATGGGAAGGTCTTTTTAAGTCACTCTACCACAACCCAGACACCAGGGGGAAAAAACCCTCTACAGAAAAAGTATCAAAAGCCAGGCAAATAAGCAAAAACAAAATTACAAAGAATGAAATTAAAAGAGGGCTGGGGATTTTGCTCCGTGGTGCTGCCACCTGCTTCGCAAGCTCAAGGTCCCAAATTTGATCCCTGGTACAACAAAATAAATAAATAAAAGAAAATATTTGCAATTCAAATGCCAAAGGATTAATTTCCCTAGCATATAAAGAATCCTTATCAGGTGAGATGCAGCAGTGCACATCTGTAATCCCAGTACAAAAAAAAAAAAAAAAAAAAAAAGAAAACAAAACAAAGCAAGACAAAAACAATCCAAGAATCCTTATCAATCAAGCAATAAAAAGAAGACCAGAGGCTGCAAGGTCCTGAGTTTAATCCAAAGAAGAAAGAAGGAGGAGGAGGAGGGGGAGGGGAGGGGGGAGGAGGCCAAGGAGGAAGAAGACGAAGACAAGGAAGAGGAAGCCGAAGACGAAGAAGACCAACCACTCAACAAGAAAATAGGAGAATATATGGTGAGTTATTCAGGCCACAGGAAAAAAATATGATTTATAAGTATATTTCTAAAATGCTCAACCCTGCTTACAGAGAAAAACAAATTAAAAACAAAATATTGCTTTTTTAAAAAATCAGCACACCAATGACCTTAAATTTTGATAATAGGCAATGCTGACAGAAGTCTAAGAAACAGGTGTCCCATAATGCTATTGGTGGATACCATGTCTGGAAAGGAATTTAGAAATATGCATCACTGGGAGAAATATGCATCAAAGTGAAGGAAAGTTTTTGGTCTGGCATCTATATCCTGTGCCTGTAGGTCTGGTCTTAGACATACATAGTTATGATAGCACATCATTGCTGGCCCTGGCAAACACTCTAACAATCCAAGCGTTCCAAAAATCAACTAGGAAAATGATGAAATAAATTTGGATACAATCATACAACTGGACATTGGTCAATCGTTAAAAAGTTTTATATGCATGAAGGGATGCAGAGACAGACGCAGAAGGAATGCAGTAGGACTAGTCTAACACACAGCAGTTAACAGTAAATTCAGAAGAGTGCGATATGATCTGATTCATATAAGCTCAAATATTGTTTTAAAAAATCAAAACAGGAAGTATGGTTGGTGGTCAGTAACATTTTATATTCTTGCACGCTGATTAGTTAGCATGTACCAACACTTGTTTTGCAATATATGCAATTTTTAGAAAATTAACACATGCAACTTATTTAAATACAGCCCTTCTCTGAGCCCCCTTTCCCAAGCTCAGTAGATTATGGATTTGTAACAAAGGTTTTGGGTCCAGCAAGTTACTGTCATACACTAAGATCTATATATTAAATGGTGTTCTTATACCACCTTAATTTTGTTGATTTACTACGGTCCCACTTTATTCCAAAATGTCTGTGTGGTGAAGGCCTCATTCGATATAATGAAATTGTAACAAGTTGACCGGAAGCTGAGATAAAAAGAACCTAAAGGCCATCTAAACCCTAATTTCATAGCACATGTTTTAATTGTAGAAGCAATATACACTGTCCTTGTGCATTGTAAATTGTGGATTCATTTACAAATAGTTGCTGGGCGTTTTTACTAGTTTTGACTGGACTTTTTCCTTTTCCGCCTGGTATTAGCTAATTGTTACCACTAGGTGGCAGCAGAGATCAACTCAAGGAGGGAAAGTGAGTCATCTGAAGCTGGGTTCCCAAAACAAGCTTTTAGGGAGGCAGGGCCTCTGAAGCATCAGGCCCTCCCTCCGGAGATGAGGCACCTGGGTGGCTGGGAGGGGATTTTCAGTTCTGTGGGTTCCCAGCAGGGAGAGGACCCTGAGCTCTCGGAGGGTGGAGGAATCTGTTCACTTCCTAGTCAGAGATGGCTGGAAAAGGCCATCACTGGGCACAGCGTGGGTTGCCCAGCCCAGCATGGCCCAGGAACACCTGGCCTGCTTCTCCTCCACACCTGAATCTTTTTCTCTGATCCCTGGACATGGGGCAGAGAGGTGAGAGAAGAGGACCCTGGCAGGAGGTGGCAGAACTGGGCCCCTCGCCATCGTGGAGCACAGCCTCCCGTCACCGTCCCCAGCCCCTCCTCAGGGCCCACAAGGCCAGGCTGAGTGGCTGTGTGGAGCTTACCAGCCTGTGTGGACTTCCTCCGTGCCTTCTTGATGTCCTCTTCCGTCTTGTTGCTCAGCTTGATCTCCAGCTGCTGGGTTTTTATCTCCAGGTCTCTCTGCCGCTCAGTGAGGGCTTTCCGGGCCTGTGAACCATGACAGGCTCTCAGAAAGCTGAGGGCAGGGAGCCCTCTGGGCCGTGTGGTCTGGCCACCCATGGCTCGAGAGGAGCCCTTCATCTCTGCTGGCATGGACAATGGCACATCCAGCTAATCTGTGATGGTACAGAGGCTGCTCCCTGTCTCCTCCTGCTTGGATTTGGCCTAAATCAATCTCTCAGGCATGTTTTCACTGGAGCCTGGACCTGGACTGAGGACAGAGGAAACCCTAAAATCACTGCCTCTCGGGGCTGGGAGAGACCACTAATGTCCACATCGCCTCCCAGCAGTGCGTAGCAGGCTGGCAGCCCCATCTACCCCATTCCACAGCTTCCACCCTCATACTCCCCCGGCACGGCCTGCTGCGCTCCTGCTGGGCCCTCATGGGTCACCCTCCAGGCCACTCCACCAGCTCCACAGCTGGCCAGGTCTTAGATGGCTCCTTCTGATCTCCGGGGCACTGGGGTCAGCCCTGAGGAGAGCATTCTTCCTTGCCAAGCTAACCACCCATATTCTCCCTGATTCTGACCACCTTCAGGAAGGTGAGCCACTGGGTACACAAGAGGGGGTGATTTAGCCTGCAGGGAATCTGCAGACACGGGTCAGCCGAGCAAAGACATGGGATGCCTGGTCTCAGATACTCACAACAGCCACTGCTGCTCCTGCACTCTCTCCTTGCTTCCACTGGCTCTCAGGCCATGGAAAGAGGCTCCTACGTGCCCTTTGGAGGGGTGGGGCTTCTCAGGGAGGGGTACCTCTCCCTCATTCCAACGCACAGGGACAAAACCTCTCCATAGTAACCGAACCACAGCTGGCTTCCCAGCACACCCTCTTCCAGCAGCAGGTGTTCCCACCCCTGTCCCTCTCTGGCACAAAGTCCCGGCCTCTCACCTTCTCCACCGAGGCATAGCGGCTGGCAAGCTGCTTTCGGAGGTCAGCGATGTGGTGGTCACACTTTTTCATGTCTTTCTTGAAGTTCTCCCGGAAGTTCATCAGGGGCTTCTCTACCTCGCTGTGGAGCTGTGGAGGGGGGCACAGAGGGCACATTCAGGGTCCTGGGCATCAGGGATGGGGAAGAGGGCTGTGGCCTGGCTGAACAGGAAGGCTGGAGATTGGGTGGCTGCTTCTCCGGCCTCAGTTTACCCCCAGCCTTCAGTGCTTCAAGATGAAGGCTAAGTCTGATTTCCTACAGGCAACTCCTTCCTCCTCTGAGACTCTGCAGCTGCTTCTCTTAAAATTCTTTATTTAAAAATTTTATTGTATGTATTTATGGCGCACTTCATGATGTTTTCAAATATAGTCACGCGTCACTTAACCATAGGGCTGTGACCATAGGGCTGTTCTAAGTGACAGGTCGTTAGGAGGTCTTGCCGTTGTTTGAACATCAGAGTGCACTTACTCGATGGAAACGGATGTGGGGTCACTGACAACATAAACTTAAGGGACACCGCTGTATATGTGTTCTGCCACTGCCAGAAAGGAGTTAGTCCCTCACTGTCTGCACAGTACACGCTGTGGAGTGGCTAATTCCGGCTAATTAACAAATGTGCTATCTCCATGCTCGGTTAATATCCCTCGGCCTCTTGTACGGCTCTGCTCATCTCTCCCTCTTTTACTGTCCAACCTGAGAGCTCTCTGGGGGACAGAAGCCAAGTCACCCGTCTGTGTCCCCCTGCACTTATCACAGTGACTGCTGCATTCAGCTCAGTAACTAATTGTGGACAGGATGCCATTTAATCAGTTGATCTCCAATCTTTCCTGTGTACTGCCCATCTGCTGTGTCCAGGTGCCTGGAATACAGAAATGATGCGGACATCATCCAGGCCTTGGTGAACTCCTGGGAGGAGCTGCTGGAGGTTCCCCGACTCGGCTTCCACCTGTCCCAGTGGTGCCTATGGGGGCACTGCTGTTTCCCTGGATGCTGACATACCAGCTCTGACTGAATTCTTTTTTTCCCTCCGCTCCAGACTCCTATTGCCCTGGAGACCACTGGGGCTTAGGAATGAATTCTTATTCAGAACAACCAAGTTAGACATGACTGTAAGTGTCACATGGTCAGGGGCCACATCTGGCTTGATCACGACTGTAGTGTCCAACCCGAGCTGGGGCAGGACAAGCGCTACTTGACTACTTGTACAGAGAATGACAAACACTTCAGTGTTTGTCCCAACTCCCTAGGTGACAAAAGGACAGCTTTGTCGCTGAAAGACCTTTACAGACTATCAGAGAACTGGTCACCCAAATGTCCCACACCTCCTGATACTGGTTTTGTAAATACCTCAATATTTTATGTAAAGCCCCTAGAACTGCCCTTATGTAGGAAAACATCCCCATCTGGTGGCAGTTTATAAGATACTACTTGAGAGCTCATGAGTAGAAACTTCCCTCCCATTGCTATGGCTTGCATGTGTCCCCCAAATTTCATGCACAGAAAACTTCATTCTCAAATTCTTATGTCGTCAATGGTATCTGGAGGTGGGACCTTTGGTTTGTAAAGGATTAGATGAGGTCATAAGAGTGGAACCCCTAAGATGAGGCAGGTGGCTTTGAAAGAGGAGACCTGAGCTGACACACACTCGCTGTCTCAACACACGATGCCTCCACCACCTCCGGAGACGGCAGGGGGCCCTCCCCAGACACTGACCTCTAGGTGGTGGGCTTTCCAGTTTTCAGAGATTCGACCTACATAAACTTCTATTCTTTACAAAGTACTCAGTCTCTGGCATTCAGTTATAGCCAAAGGTGTAAGACTAAGACACTTAATGTTTCAGATCAGGCATTTTCTGGAAAGGAGGAGCTGCCTAACTTAGCTGCCGTGGAACCAGCTCCTCTCTGGGGTCTATTAAGTTAACCCAGCCTGCTGATTCAGCAACTTCGGGATTTGTTTCCAAGGGCCTGGAAAGCAAATGCTTCTGGGCTTGCATTATCGCCAGCATCTCACCATGGATACCTCAGGTACCTCAGGTTCTCCTGCCTGTGCAAGGCCCAGGAATCAAAATGTTTCCCCAAATTCCAAATGACATCCATGCTACTAGACAGCAAAGTGATTCAGTTCCCAAGATAAAAGCCACCTCTCTATATATATTTCAAATGCTTTTTAAAGACATGATTTATTTTTTTTTAAATGTTGGTTAAAAAAAAAAAAAGTAAAAGTTGGCTTACTGTGCTTAAGTACTCATCCCTAGCTTTTAAGCATCCTTGGTTCATGAGGGAATCAGAAGCCCATGACATGTATCTTTGCAGACACGCAGACCACGCGGTCTGGGCTGTACAAGATGGACCAGTCGCAGAGCAGAGCTGTTTCCTTTCTGAAGCTTGACTCTCTCTGCCTTCTCTATTTTTGTGTCACACACCGGAAAAAGAGTACAAGAAATTCCATGCTGGAAGCAACTTTAAGGACTGTCTAGTCAGACTACGGGGTTTTCAAATCGTGAGCGACTACGAGTTATGAAATCCATTTGCTGGGTCAGGACCAGCTTCCGGTGAGAGCAGAGCGGACTTGGACAGAAAGTATCATAGTGCATTTTAGAAGGATAAACACTGTGTCATGACACGCTTGTTTGGGGGACACACATGTGTGAGTATCTGTGGGTAGATGTGGAGTGGGTACGTGTGTGTGGATTTGTGTGTTCTGGGTGCAACCCTGTGGGCAACAGTCAAGTTTAAAGCCACCAATCTGTCCAAACTTTTCTTTTCACACATGAAGACAAGGAACACCCCGGGGCTAAGTGACTTGCCCACAGATCTAAACGCTTGTTAGCACTGAGCGCTAAAGCTCGCTACCCTCCCTCCTCCTCGGCCCAGAATCTTCTGTCTGAACGCATGGCTCTACTGCGTGACCAGCTTTCCTCCTGTCGGAAGGAATTTTTCTCTTTTCCCTTTTTCTGCCCAAGCCAGGTATAACTTCCTTTGAATATTGCAATCTAATTTCTTTAGCAACCTGGTGCTATTAGCAATGGCTTGAGTCAGTGGACTAGAAAAGCTAGGAGGATTATCATTTTTTAAAAAATGCATTTCTTGCAGAGCTTTTTTACCCCTGACACTGAACATTAAGAATGAAATCTCAATAAGCCTTCTGGAGCAGGCATGACAATGGGTTTTGTGCACCTGGAGCCTTATTGTCCATAAACCCATGGAGTCACTCTTCTCTCCAGGAGTCACCCCTAGGCCACCAGCGCTGACGGCCAAGCTAGAAGCAGCAGAAGCTCTCCTGGCAAAGCCTGGTTTTGCTTTTGTGCAACCGTTCTTCATGAGCCGGCTGATGGCTACATGGTGGAGTCTGTGTTGCCTCCTGGACATGGCTTCAAAACATCACAGGCAGCCTGCCGCTCACTGTGGGCATCCCCGGGAGGGCAGAGTACTCCTCGGGGGGCAGTGTTCTCTTTGTTTTTAAGGTACTGGGGTAGAACCCAGGGCCTTTGCGTGCTAGGCAAGTGCTCTGACACTGAGGCGCATCCCTGATCTCCGGGTCCAGTGTTTTAAATGTGACTGGTCTGCTGAAGAGGGGGTGAACTCAGAAGCAAAGGTCTAGAGTTCAAGTCTGCCATTTTCTCACTGCTCTCCTCTGCTTCCTCCACAGCTGAATGCACAAGATGGTGTGATCAGGGGCTGTGCTTTAATCTCTGTCCTTGTCGTTTGTGAAGTGGAGGTGCTGCCATGCACGGTGGGTGATAAAAGCAAGAAACAGATTATACCTGGTACACTTACTCAGTCACTACTCTCAGTACCTGCTGACCAGTCTCAACAATCAGAAGCCGGGGCCCTGCTGATGGGGCATAGATGCCACCAAGATTCCCAGGAATCCAGCAGGCAAGACTTCCAGAGGCTCACAGATCTGCCCTCCTAACGGGGCAGCCTTTCATTCATCTGCCCAGTCCAGGGACATCTGGGCCACCACAGAGAATAGCAGCGCCCAGGGCTAGGACAGAAACGGGGAGTGTAGGAGGACACTGCCTATGAGCTGCAGCTGAAAACTAACCTGCTGCTTTGTATGCAGCACAGAAGGACACCGATTCCCACAGCTCCCTTCTCTGCCAGGGCTGGAGTAGTAATCTGCTCATGAAGTACTTGGAGTACTGAGGTGAGCGTGCTGCAGTTAGCTGTTAATTCTCACGTCTGGGAGTCAACACAATCATCTCGGGCACTAAGTCCTCCAGATCAGGGAGCTGGTAATATCACTGCTCTCACTCCAGCTCTTTACCAAGCTCAGGCCTTTCTCCATGGCAGGAAAGTATTCTTGGTAAAGAATAATGATTCATGGGCAGGGGATTTAGCTCAGAGGTTCGGTGGCCTGCCTTGCTAGTGCAAGGACCCAAGTTCACTCCCCGGTACCAAAAACAACAACAACAAAAAACAAACAAACAAACAAAAGAATAAAGATTCATGTAGATCAAAGCTCTGGAACCTGGGAAGTTCTCCATCCAGAGGTGAGCATCTGGTGAGGGCCCCCAGCCACCTCTGGAAGAGATGTCATCACATGGTGAGACAGAGCAAGAGTGTGTCAGCTCAGGTCTCTTCATACAAAGCCACCGTAGGGGCTCATCATAGGGGCCCCACCTTCATGACTTCATCTAATCCATTACAATCCAAAGGTCCCACCTCTAAATACCACCAACGACATGAATTTGAGAATGAAGGTCTCCTTGCACGGAAATTGACATACACTATGAACTGGGAGACCTTTATAAACCATGCATCAGCACATGTGTGGGACCTGCAGGGAGTGGTTACCTTGGCAGAGAACTTGAGGTGAACTTCTGCTTCATCTGCAAGGCTCTTCTTCACCTGGGCCCACGCTTCTCCCAAGGAGCTGCAACAAAGGAGACTATCAATCAGAGGGGCCGGGGAGGGCTGCCCCAACCTCAAAGCCACAGCCCTTCCGAGGATGGACGAGTGGGTCTTGAACCCATGTCTTGGGTGGGTAGAGACCACCCAAGGCTTTGAACTTGAGTGAGGTGGAGGTCACAAAGCATCCACAGAGCTGGGCTGAGCCACCAAGGCCAAAGTAAGATAACCTTAGCTCTTTTAACTAGGGGAACAGACTATGGCAGACAGCTGAGTAGCCTGGGAAATACTCAGAACACAGAGGCTTATATGGACTGAGGGAAGAGCTAACCCTTCGCTGCAGTCACTGAGGGCCTTGCTACCTAGCTGTGACTGCCCCCAGTGCCTTCTATCACCACTCCCTGGTCTGCCGGTGATGCTGATAATTCAAGAACTAAAAATAAATTCATTTCCAGGGAGAAACCCTTCTCAAATAGGAGGCAAGGGAAAACCCTGCTTACAAAAGCTACAGCATTACAGCTCCCAGGAGAGGCACCGAAGGGCCACTTGTGCCTGGGGGCATCATAGGTACAGCCATGCAAGGAGAAGCCCTTCGCCCCCATCCTCAAGAGCGTATCCCTCTCAAGCATGGTTTCTGGATTATACGTGTAACAAGAAAATGACCACATCCTCTAGGCGAAATCACCTCTCCACTCCAAGGAGAGGCTTCAAACAGAAGCGTCCTGCAGTCCCAAGACCTTCAAAGGGAAGCCCCCCCCCCGCAGTCTCCACTATCTGGCGCTCTTCAACCTCGCTGACCACTCCCAATGACACCCACACCTCCTTGCTCCCGACCTCTTCAACCAACCAGTAAATCCAGGCTGAAAGTTCAGTTGACTTAATTTCACCAAAAAGTCACTTCCCCCTAGAGAATTCATTAAACTTGAGTGCCAAAGGCTGATTAAAAGAGCTTACTGTGATGCTTCTGGGTTCCAACCCCAGCACCCAGCCAGCAGCTCAGAATCACCCAACAAAGCAGAATGATCCCTCTGATCACAGTCCAACCCAACCTGGTGGTGCTGCTGGCTCAGGCCATGGCGGGTGTTTATTGGAAACAACCAACTGATTTCTATCTCGGAGTCTGGGCAGCAAAAAAAAAAAAAAAAACATCCTGGGGAGCTACCGGTGAAGCCTGGGAGTGAGTCTGGGAAGCCTGAGCTGTTGGCATCTGTCTTGGCCTGAGGGGCCTGAGCTCCCAAAGCTGTTCCCAGACTGTGCAGGCCTTCTGGGTAGGCTGGGTGCCCACCTGATTCCGCAGGTGGGGAGAAGGTCCAGGTCAGGAGAGGTGCAAGCAGCCACTCAGGTACAAAAATCACGGAACAGAACACAAAGTCATGGTTTGAATGTGTCCCAAAAAAAACCTGTGTTGCAAACTTAATGCTCAGTGCAACAGCACTAGGATGTGGGACCTCTGAGACATGATTAGGCCAAGAGGGCTCCGTCCTCATGAGGCACAGATGCCCATAATGAAAGGGCCACAGGCCTTGGCTCTCTTGCCATGCGATGCCCTCTGTCATGCATGATGCAGCAAGAAGTCCATCACCACATGCCAGCCCCCTGAACAGGGACCTGTCAGTGGCCAGAAAAATAAGAAATTTCTTTTCTTTATACATTTCCCAGACCGTGGAATTCTCTTATAGACTAAGACACAGAATGACACAGAAGTGGCCGACTGAAAGTTCCGCTGAGGTATTTCAATGGGGGAATGAGTGGACTCTCCTCCTCCTTGCTATTTTTCAGTGCTAGGGATGGAACGTGGGCTCTTGAGCATGCTAGGTGAGTGCTCTGCCACCGAACTACACTTTGGCGCTTGGACAGATAAGAGAGGTCTCTGCTATCTCTAGCAGAGATAGCCATATATCTGGATGGAAGGAAACAATCTTGGCCCTTGCCTCATGCCATACACGGGTACAAGGGATCTCCAGGTGGACTCCAGCTCTACTGTGAGATTCCACACCAGTCACAGCTTAAGGAAGTTGTCCTAGGATGCATGGGAATGTGATTGAAAGGACCCCATGGGTTTTGTCCTTGGTAGGTGAGCGACTCACAGCAGCCGTGGAACTGTGGATAAGAGCTGCAGAAGCCAAATAAAGGCCCTTGGAGGGCAACACAGGCTTCTGCAGAGCCACAAATCCACCGTCAGCAGAGCACACGGTGAGTAACTGGCCGGGGACTTGCACACTTGACAGGGAACGCCGGCCCAGAGGATTGGGAGGACAAGAAGAAGCGCTGTTTCCACCAGGGCAGATGTTCTTGGCTTCACCTGCAGGCTGGAATCCCAGGGGGAGGGAGGGCATCATTTCATATGCGCAGGTGGGCTTGTCCCAGCCAGAGTGTCCTCCAGACGCCTGCCCCTCTCCAGGATCCTAAGCCCCTTTGAGCCACTTCAAAATATGTAGAAATATCCACTGAGATCTGCTAATATGTGCAGTGAGTATATGCTAGTCAAAAATAATTATAGAAAATTTTAGAAAAAAGTTCCATTTAGAATTTGTCTATTCCTAGTACCCTGGGAGGCTGAGAAAGGAGGACCACGAGTTCAAGTCCAGCCTGGGCAATTTAGCAATTCAACGAGATCCTATCTCAAAATAAATGGAATGAAATTAAAAAGGGGCTGGGTATATTGCTCAGTTGTAAAGGCCCTTGGTTTAATACTTAGCACCAAAACAATATATTTTGTCATTTGAAGACAGCATGTAATAACAGCATCTAATAATAATAAAAAAGAGAATTCTGTACCAACATACAATTTGAGGCATGCCAAATCAAAACGCACCTTACTGTCAAAATTGCTAACCAGGAAAGACCACAATCCCATTTCCTTTCCTCACAGGAGAGAAACACTGAAGGCAGAAACAATCTAATTCTGTGTGTTCACCAGCACCCACCGAGCCTGTGAAAGGCAATCCTGACACAGCGCTCAAGTTACAAACACAGCTAAGCTCCGGCACTGCACTGCACAACTTTTCAAGGTGGGCTGGGCTCGAGGCCCCAAGCAGTGCATAAATGCGAAATACCATCAACAGGCACTGTGTGGACAGGGTGCGTGTGTTCCGGCTAAGTGCTTGCTGGTAGGAACGGGGGTGTGCAATGGTGAGGTGTGCAATGTACAGACGAGGGGCAAGTATGCGTGCACGAGCTTGTGTGTGCGTCTCCATGGTGCGTGCGTGTGTGCTGAGCGTGTGGGCGGGGCTGCTCGGGTGAGAAGCATTTGCTGTGTACCCGCGGGACACAGTGTCCCTGGCAGCAGCCCAGCCCAAGGAGGTGGAAGCTGAAGCAGCACTATGGCTGCGGAGCCCAGGGAGCCTCAGGAAAGCCCTTCCCAGGCAGCAGGCGCTGCTTCCCGTGTGTCCCCTCCCCACTCACACAACCGCAAGACCAGCGTGTGGAGAAGGGGCCTGGAACTAACCAAGCCCACTTACGTCTGCAAGAGGCCCTGGCCCTGCTGGGCCACCTGGTGAAAGCTGGAGTGGGGGAGGTAGTTGTTTGGCCGCACAGTCAGCCCATGTGGAGGCCTTAATCAAAGCCACATTTATTTGATGAAATCTCTGTCCCCGGAGGGATTTCACGCCATGAGGGCAGACTTGGATTTTCCTAACATCACAGCTCCGACCACCATAGCCATCCCACGACAGAACGACGTCTTCATTCTCAGGGATCACTTCTCCTCGTAGGAGGAACTAAAAACATAAGGGTGCATGGGAGGAAGGCACTGACAGAGAGGGCCTCTGGGGATCCCTCTCAACTCTCACCTCCTGAGAGTCTTTACTATTATCTTTATCGAGGTGACAATCATGTAGCATAAAATTAACCAATTTACCGTGACCCACCCAGTAGTGTTTAGGATATCCACACTTGTACAACACCCCTCTATCTAGTTCCAGAATGTTTTCGTCACCCCGTCATGGAATAAGAGCCTGTGTCATCCTCCCCTGCCAAATTCACACGTTGAAGCCCTCCTGGTCCCCAATGTGTTTGTTGGGTTGGGGCTTTTAAGACAGAAATTCAGGTGAAAGCGAGGCCACCTCCTCAACCTGGGCTGCTGCCAAGGATATAAAAGTTAAAGGGTGGGGCCCTGATCGGATAGGACTGATGTCCTTCTAAGAAGAATTTCTAAGAGAACTCTGTCTCACTGCCCAGCACACACACAGGACGCGTTGTGTGAGTACCAGGACAAGGTGGCCAACTACAACCCAAGGGGAGAGCCCTCGTCAGAGGTCAGCCCTGCTGCTACTTTGATCTGGGATGTCCACCATCTTGAACTAGGGGAAAATCAATAAATACCAGCCTGTGCTATATGTTATAGCAACTGCAGCAGACCAATACATACCCTAAAAGGAAACCTGTGCTCATTACGCAGTCAGTCCCTAGTGCCCACTTCCCCCAACCCTAGAGGATGTAGCCCATCTATGGAGAGGACAGGGGCACTGGCACATTCCAGCACTTGGCAGGACGCACAGGGTCACAAGACAGAAGGAAGACAATGTCGGACCATCCTCCTGGAGCACTGATGCCTATACACTGAGTCACAGATACCCACCTGGATGAGCTGTGAGCACCTGCCCTGAGTTATAAACACCCATCTTGAACCACGAATACCTGCCTGGAGCCACGGGCACCACCTGAAGTCATGAGGAACCACCTTGAGCTATAAGCAGCCAACTTGAGAATAGGTGCCACCCTGAGCCAGGTCAATGGAGAGTTCCTCACTCAAAGTGGGCCTAAGCCGGCGGCCAGTAATGGTTAAGAAAAAGGGTTCCCCTTCCTCAGTCTCCCTGGCCCCTCTCACCACTCTTCTCCCAAACTCACCCTTCCTCCTGTGCAGCCAGGGAGTTCTGAGAGAGCTTAGCTAAGTTCTTCGCATATTCTTCTTCAATCTTTATCCTGCAAAGGGAGAAAACACACTGCTTAGGTTCTCCAGTGCTAGACTATGATCAGATTTGCCACCCCGTCACCTAGAAACTAGTAAAGGAACCCAGAAGGCCACGTTAGATCATAGACCCTGAGCACACATGGCTTTCATCTGTCTGGCTGACACACAGGAGGTGTTTAATATTTATGGAATAAATGAATGAAACTCTTTGGATGCCCATCTCTTCATCTGCACAATGGGATATTTCTGCCTGTCTCCAGGCTGTGAAAATGAGTGCTGTCATTTGCACAGCTCTGAGCACAAGGTCGGATGCATGAGAACCCTTCCATGAATGAATGCAACTTGTAAGGGTCCACCAGGGATACCTAGTGTGTCCTCTCACTCTTCCAGCCCAGAATGCTGGATTCAGACCCTCCCAGATAGTCATAGCTCCTCAGAAGCAAGAATAGAAATGTCTCCATAGTCTCCCATCTCTAATACCTCTAATTGCCAAGTATTATTAAGGGCATAAGTATTTCCATGGAAACCAGACACTGCCCAGAACTGCAGCTCAGTTCTATTTCCCTGCAGACAAACACTGCCTTGGATGTAGCTTCCAACAGGCAGGCCCTTGAGTCACTCTCAGGGCAACCCTCCAGGGAGCACTAGTATAATCGGGCACATCCTGTTAGGTGCACCACCAAAGGCAATGTTTACCTCCTAAGTGGTACATGTGCTACCAGTGTGAGCACACCTCGGGACCCCGGAGAGCCCCTGGTGTGGGGATCGGAGAGGCTCTGGGACCCTGGGGCTGCAGAGTTCACTCCTGGCTTACTCAGGTAGCCAGCACCAAAGGGTGCAATGACGTAGAGAGGGGCGAACGAGGCCCAGTGGCAGAATCTTGAGTAGCAACTGATGCACGACGTGGCACAGAAAGGCAATTTTCATCCTTCTCATCCTGCTTCGTTTTCCCTTCCACCTCTGGCCAGCACCTTGGTTCTCCAGAGTTGAACACTGACTTATCGCTCGCCCCTGTTGTTTCCTCTCCAGTCCCTCTGGCTTCACCTCCAGCCCTGCCCCGATTATGTGGGCAAGGCCTCTAGAAACAGGTTGGCCACATCCTAATGTCAGTGGCAGGCACCAGGTGCAGGTGGTGCATGTGCCATCTGCCTCTTGGCTCTCATCCCTGGAACCGGCCTGGTCACTTCCACACTCTGCCCAAGTACCCTAAGGCGAGGCTGCAGCAAACCAGCAATCCTGGTCCCCGGCCAGGCACACTCCCTCTTCCGCAGCCGTCCTCTCACCTCTTCTAGCTCTGGAAGGCCCTCTTCCCTACGGGACCCCAGTGTAGAGATCTGAGAAAAGATACAGGAATCTGCCTTTGCACTGGGAGGACCATATGCTTGCCGGCAGGAAGCTGCTATGGGTATAAACCATACACAAGTGCAGGCTTTGGCTCAGACCACTCTTTCCCTATTTGCCTGTTTTATTCTCTTGTTTTCTTGCACCTGAGCGATGCAGCCTTCCAATATCCTACCAGCTTAATGGGTCATAAAACAAAGACTTCATTATACAAATAGAAAACAGACCTCCTAAGGAAAAGGGTGCTTTAAAATGCCAAAGCATTATTACCTGATTTCTGTTGTTATAATGAAAAGAATTATTTTTAAAAGATATTGCCATTTGCAAGAAGTATTGCTAGTAGGCCTTGGAAGCTGGTAGGCAAATCATTCACACAGGCAGGTGTGCAGGTGTGTGGATGAGTGTGTGCTGTGTGCTTATCGGATTCCCAGAATGTGGAGAGAGAGGAGAAGGGAGAAGGAGAAAGGAATTCTCTCCATTACGTTTTGCTTCTGGTAGTTTTCCTTATTTCTGTGGAGCTGAATTTAGTGTTTCTTCATCCATGCTCCCAAACTCTCTGCACAACCCACTGTTATCATCCCTCAGTGTTGGGGAAGCCTGGGGGATGTTTCCCTATCCTTCAGCTTGGGGCACAGTTTTGGTTCTTAGATCAACTGAAAGGTGCCACTGCTCTTTAGGGTCATGGTAAGGGGCAGTGCTTCTAATGAGGGCCAGGTAGGCAGTAAAGTGAGACAGTCTGAGAGGGAAACAACAGGGAGTGGTGGAGACTACAGCAAACTGGGAACACACATCCCTCTATGGGGTAGCTGCTACTCGGCTCCAGCCAACTGCTGCACGAGGCATGTGGAGGCCATCCTTACAACTGTTGTTCTCAACAGCTGCTCAGTGTCCTGATTTTAATGTAAAATCTACCATTATTCTGTTTTGTTTTGTTTTTTGTTATTGCCTTTTTTGTCCTCATTGAGTTTATTGGTACATTTTAGGTATACAGTACAGTTACATTCATCATTGGGATCTTGTACCTTTACATGACAGGTCTTGGTTCTCATTTTTTCCCCTTCTCCCTGCCCTCTCTTCACCCCCTCCTCCCCTCCCCATCTACAAACACTTTATTTCCATTTTTTCATATTTTTTTCTTTTCCCTTATTTCCTTTCCCCTACACTTCTCACTTCCCCTACACCTTTAGTCCTTTTCTTCCTATTTCTCTACCAGTATTTTTAAAATGTTAGTTCAAATTTTTCAGAACACTAAACAGGCTGAAGCTATATGTGTGCCGGCCAGATCCACCCCAGGGCCTGTGTCTGTGTCTGGGACTCTAGTCTTACTCGCCCCTTGGTGCCCTGGGCTGGGTGCTGAGTCCTTCCGGTGGTGACTTCCCTGGGGTGACTGCAGGAGGTGGGGCTGCAACCACTGCCCAAGCTGGCAGGACCCCGGCTTTACCTTTCCCGGATGAATTCGGACATTTCTTTCTGCATCTGTTTGCCTTTCAGTTGCTTCTGGAGCAGCAGTTCAAACCCAGCCACAGTGCCATTGCCCTGGGGGTCCTTCTTATCTGCCTAGGAAGGAAACAGAAACATCCAGTGTCTGGAACCAGAAAGATTGAAGTATAGGGGAGGGAGGACACCAGTTTGCCTGGCAACCCTGACCCCAGCCCAACAATGACAGGAGCGTTGGTCTCTACAGAATCTCCTGGAGCCCTGGCTCCCACAGTGCTTTCTGATGCTGCCACAGCCTGAATGTGTCCCCAGCATTCACATGTTGGGAATCTTAGTCCCCAGGTAACAGCACTACAGGGTGGGTTAGGACAGCTCTGCCCTCCAGAATAGGTTAATGCCTTTGTTACTGCAGTGGGGTTGCTACAGAAGCAAGTTTGGCCCCCTTTTGCTCTGTCTTGTCCACTGTCCCCTGCCCTGGGCCAGTGTCACAAAAAGTCCTCACCACACGCTGTCACCTTGATATTGGACTTCCCAGCCTGCACAACTCTGAGCCAAGTAAGTTTCTGTTCATCATACATTACTCTGTCTCAGGTATTCTATCAGAGCAGCGCAAAACAGACTTAAGACTGATGTGTAAGGCCCAGAGTTGCTGCTGCCCCCACACCCGTGCCCTTTACTGCTCCAGACCTCTGGACAAAGAGAAGGGCACATGGCCGTGACTCAGGCGCTCATGCTTGGTGGTGATGAACCGACGGTACACGTGTTATTATGGTTTTCTTTTAAGATGAAGATGTTAATGTGCAGGTTGTTTTTTTGAAACTAGAGCCTCAGCATTCAGGTTTAATTGCAGTGCTGGTACTTTGTGATAAATAAGTGGGGTCTGGGTTGCAGTTTGGGCACTCGGTCTCTAAAGGGTTCGCCATCACTGGCCTGGGCCTTCTGATGCGGGGGCTCGCGCAGCTATCTCGACCTCCTGGGAATCCTGGCCTTCTGACTCTAGCCTGGGACAGTCTGTGTGTGACTCTCCACCCTTCTGCCATCCTGTCTTCTACCAGCTTCTTGTACTTAGGCAGTCATGGCCTCTAATACACAGTCATAAAAGGTCACAGCCAAGGAAATAAAAAGATCCAAGGGGTTGCTGGGGAAAAATGGACTGCAGGGAAGTCAGAGTAGAAAATGACAGGCTGGCAGGACTGAAATTCTGACGGAGTGACCCCGGGAAGTCCTTGCACTCACCCTATGCCTGAGCTCCTTCATCTGAAAACTGGGAAGATCAAGAGATAATCCCTGATAGTCATTTTGGGATAAAGGACATATACAAACGACAGAGGCATTTCAGGATGTACACATGTACTCAGCTGAGCATACAGGAAGTACTCAAAAAGTATCTATCATCAGTTACTTTAAAATAAATGTCAGGACCCAAGGAAGATGGCCAAGCTGTGAAATGGGACCTTAGGACCCAACTAATTTTGCAAACCAATATTTTTCAAATTGCAAAATGGAGGCTAGATGGTGGCACACCTGCAGTCTCAGGGAGGCTGAGGCAGGAAGATCACTGCAAGTTCGAAGCCAGCCTGGGTTGCACAGTGAGTTCAAGGCCAGACTGAACTGCATAGTGAGACAGCATTCTCCTAAAGCCTCTTCCCATGGGGAATCTGGGGTTATATGTTTAATACTTCATGGAAGGAGTCAAAAATAGGCTTTCACTATCACACAGCTGCAGAGACAGGAGCGGCCCCTGCTGGTGGGCAATAGGAGTCTTTGGGTATCTTCTGTAGTATGAATAATTTGGTACAAAGGAAAAGACATTTTTGTCTTGTGCTCAGCAAACCTAAAAAGGGATAGATAATCCATTCTTTACCATGGTCAAAAAAATAAAAAAGTCAATGCAAGAGCTCTTTTTGGAGGTATACAATTCAGTAGCTCTACTGTATTTGCAAGGTTGTCCGATTACCACCTCTATCCAATTCCAGAAGAGGGTGATCTAATTCTGAGTCATCGCTGACTTTAAAATGCAAACAGCTGGAGCTGTCTTCACAGTTTCACAGTGCGAGATTCTGCATTAATTTTAAAAAGTATTCATTTTGATGGTGGCAAAATGTACATAATATAAAATCTTACCACTTTCACCATTCTAAGTGCACAGTTCAGTGGCATTAAGCACGTTCACGTTTGTGCATCCATGCCTACCACAGAATTTTTCTCAACCTGCAAAACTTGAAAGTCTGTGCCCATTAAGCAACACGCAAAATCCTGGAGCAGCTGGAGACCTCTATGGATCCTTGTGCACAACCCCTTCGTGACTCTGATGGAAATCGAGGCTCAGCAAGGTGAAGTTCTCGTCCAAGGCAGCTCGTGTCAGTGACAAACAGGTCTAGCACCTAGGTTTGTTTCCTGAAGCTAACTCTAGTCTCCCGTCCTCACTGAACATCGAAGAAGAAAGTGGCCCCTCCAGCTTCCCTGAATTCTCATAGCTGCTGGGGTTCCTGTGCTGCCTTGAGTAAAAATCCTGCTGATTCTGAGACTTAGGAAACAATCTCGACTCCAAGACAGTCTTCAGTTCTTCTCTCAAATGCCAAATCGACTGCCAGGACTTCAGGCTTCCACAGGAAAGGTCCTTCCTGCTTCTCCCACATATGCACACCTGGTCATGAGGGCTGCAGTGTGGGGAAACTGAGGCACCACTTACCCAAAAATAGTCGCAGTAGCTCCACTCTGTTGGCTTCAGCAGCTGCTGTTCAGGCATTGTGTCTGGGTGAGGGAATGTCACGCAGTTTATCTGTGGGGTAGAGAACGAGGAGGAAAACAATCTTATGAGGACAAGAAGTGGGAAAGGCCTGGACAGATCACTAATGAGGCTTCCCTTTGGGCCAGCTTAATGGGCAACACCGGTGTCTTCCTAAGCTTTAGCATCCAGTATTTCAAATAAAGGTGACAGGCATTCACATCCCCCACCACCAGCAGCAGGGAACTGCTGGGTCTTTAGAAGGTGACTTATAGGATCGACCACCACTGCTAACATCTAGATCCTTCCACCTGGCAACTGCACTTCTAAGGGTCTGTGCTGCTGCAGATAATCTGCCCATGTGTGCAGGGGTAAACTTGCATGGTCTGCACTATGGCACTACCTACGGCCGGACAGGAGAAGTCCATCACCCATCCAGGGGAATGGGCAGGCAGAACAGGGTACACGGCAGCACCCAGGAAGTGGCGTCGGCTGTGAAAGACAGGGATAAGATTCCTACGTACTGATAAGCAAAGTACACCAGGACACACTGTTAGGTGAAAAGGAAGGGGGTTCTGGGTGTGTAGCTCAGTGGCAGAGAGCCCGTCTAGCATGCCAAGGGCCTGGATTCCGTCCTCAGTGCAGGAAAAAAAAAAAAAAGGAAAAGGCAAGTGCAGAACAGTATTACTGTACACATCTATTAGCATGAAAAGCTGGGGGGATATAAACACACTTGTTACTTCTCTATAGAAGGTTTCTGGAAGCTGATAAACATGATTTGCTTCCAAGAAAAAACAGTGGGATGGAAGAGGACAGTGACCCCGGCCGAACTGGGGAAGGGTCAGAGGTGAGAGGTTATCTCATAATACATATTCTATGAGCAACTGCAGCTTAAAATCATGAGCCAAAGTGCTCGCTGGGGATAGTCCATGCCAAGGGAATGCAGGGCCGCTTGTCTCAGACATTTTTCTGACCATTATTTTCAAAGCTGTCCTCTGTGGCTGTCCTTGCTCTGTGAAAGCGGCTTCAAGACCCTGATCCTCCTTTCATCTTTGCTCACACCCAAAGCACCTGCTGAGGTGGGAGGTGCCAGAGGTTAAAGGAAGAGCCTTGCAGAAAGCTCCTGAGGATCTTGGACCAGCGTTCAAACTGTGATGGGCCCAGGTTATCACAAGAACTGCCACTTGATTTGAGCGCACACAAGCCGCTGCCTCGGATGGGAGCTCGGAGCTGTGCAGCAGAGTCATGAGCCAGGAAGAGGAGCTCGGCACTGCCCGATTACACAACAGAGGGAAGCTCAAAGTCAGGGTTTTCATGTGAAGTCTCTCCATTCTTAAGTGTCAGCAATTAATTCAAGGTCTAGAATAATAAAATTAATAAAACACCAGCATGTACTCCTCACAAACTCTTCTGTCCAGAGTCAGGTCTAGGGACCTCCAGACACAGCCTCGGGCTTAGGGGTTTGAAGGCGGCTGCAAGTCAGTCCAGTGTCCAGTCCTTCAACTCCCACACTGCTGCCTACCAGAGGTGCAGGTCCTACTTGCAGATGAAGAGGCCAGAAGTCCTGGCCAAAGGGAGGAACGCCTCCCTGTGAATACTGACACCTGGTGAGATGAAGTAAGGACCCTGCCCTGGAGAGAAGTGTGAGGCACTGCGATCCAGACAGGAATGAACCAACTTCTGGTCAGTGTGGGGCCTCAGGGGTTCCCGAGGCTGAGGCCCTTCTCCTGGGCCACCTGAAGTAACCCTGGCTAGCAGCAGCTTGTTGCTTGTGGGTGCAGCCTCCATGCCTGGCCTCAGGAAGTGGTTTCCCCAAGCTCTCATCTGGGATTGAGGGCACCATGGCATGGTTACAGAGTCTCCTTCAACAACCCCCACCCTCACCCCCTACAGGCTGTCATTTGAGACAATCATGAAAACAAGGGATATACTTTCATTCTTTTCTTTTCTTTTTCTTTTTTTTCCTGGTACCAGGGATCAAACTCGGGACCTTGTGCTTGCAAGGCAGGCATGGTGCCACTGAGCGACATCCCTGGCCCTAAGGGATGTACTTTGAAGTTTTACATATTCCTTATTTTGTTTTCCAGCCATTATTTTTACAACAACGATCACAGTCCACTTTTATTTTGCTTCATAATGGAGCTTGTGACAATCCCAATCAAATTTAATGATACAAGAACTATGACATTAAGGTAAATTGGGCATTAAGAATCATGGATCTAGCAGACTGAAGGTACAACTGTCCCTTGCTATGCAGGAGGCCTGGGTCCAGGATGCCTGTGGATGTCTAAATTCACGATACACCAGGCTCATACGAAATGCTGTCATGTCTACATATAACCTATGCACCTCCCTCCTTGATACCCGAGACCATCTCTAGGCTATTTATACCACCTAATACAATGTAAATGCTACGTAAAGAGTTGTTCTCCTGTATTGTCTAGGGAATAACAAGAAAATGACTGTATAGGTTTGGCACAGGTGCAGTTTTGTTTTAACATTTTCAATCCATAGGTGGTTGAGGCCATAAACAGAGAGTGCAGATCCAGAAGTGGATTATAAATACCTTCTCAAGTAGCCTGTGCCGTCTCCCTGACCTTCCCCTTTTCTTCTTTCCTCACTCAAACTGCTCTTGGCCTTGGCTTCTCATTGAGGAAGCAAGAACTTTCCCATGAGAGGAGGCAGCATCCTCCTCAGGTGCCCCGAACCCCAAAAGGAGCCCACTCCCGCCCTGGGATGCTCATGAAGACAACCCTGTTAGCAGGAAGTGGAGATGATAGCAGAGGCAGCCCTTTCAGTGGCAGGTCCCAGCTGGCTCTAAGCCCAACCTTCTGAAAGGCTACAGAAGGTTGGGAGACGGACTGGGAGCCTTCCTGCGTCCCCGCCAGTCCCTGCTTCGTCCTAGAACTGAGGCTGTGTGTGGCTCAGAGTCACAGGGAGGGTCTGCTGAAGTGCAGGTTGCTGGGGCCCGCCCATAGAGTTTGATTCAGGGGATCCAGGTGGGGTCTATGCTCCCAGGAGATGCTGATGGTCCAGAGATCACGCCTTGAGAAACAGCATTCATGACCCATGCAGCAGGGATGGGGGCACTGCCCAAGGAGGCCTCGTGCCCACCACAGAGGAGGACACAAAGTTGGATGGGTCCCAGGCCTACACGGCCTTCCACAGAGATGCGTACGTCAGGGACTAGAAGAAGGGTCAGGATCTAGAAAGTGAGGGGTCCCTCAAATGGCCCTGTAATAACCATCGAAGAACAGCTGGTGGGTTTGGGGGACAGCAAGGTAGGGAAAGATAGATGCATCCTTTTATTGTTTCTGTCACTCTTTGAGGACACTCATCGTGGGATGGCCTGGCTGGAAATCCCAAGTTGCCTGTCACTGCCACTATGTATGATGCTGATCGGGATTTTTCCCTCCCAAAGCTGTAGGAACTTCCAGGAAGCCGCAGGGCTTTATGCCCCCTGGCGGGCACGTGGAGAACTGCACCTCACTGGCCTCTTGGGAGGCTTCTTAAGGGCTTGGGGTTCCAGAAAGCCCTGACTCAGGCACTCTGCCAAGAGCTTCATGCATTCTCATTTCAGCTTTCCAGCAACTGCACAAGCAGGGGACTTCAGTCTCAGTTTATAAGAGGAAACCAAGGACTCTAGAGATATGTGGATATAGAAGGAGCTGACTGCAGATCTCAGGCCCTCACTCACAATGCCATTCCAAGGACCATGTGCTCATCCACTCCACTTTCTGCTTGAATGTTTGTTGAATGGCTCCTCAGTGCAGCACGCTATGGGAAGACCCAGTGGTCTGCACGAGTACATTCCTGACGGTATTTCTCATGGCAGCTCATTTAACATTTCTCTTCCTTGCCAACAGCCTGCCCACAGGGGAAGGAGACCATCCTTTCCCTGCCGTTTCCCTAGTACTTGGCCCAGCACCTGGCACAAAGTAGGTGCTTGATAAATGTTTCCTAGTGCAATGACTGGAGACCAGAGACACCAGGTAGAACAGCTGCCCTCAGGGTTTGGGTCACTAGGATACTTCAGGAGATGCCACTGGGGTATGTGTGGGGTCCTGGGGCTGCAGGAAGGGCCAGGGACCCAGGGAGGGATCTTACACGAAGTGACACTTCGGTAGTAAGGGGAGGATGCAGGCAGGAGGTGCGCAGGTAGAGAGAGCACTGCGGGAAGGAAAGGCGCCCAGGGTTGAGGAGAAAGTGCTGCTCGGCTGGGCTGGGCTCAGAGTGCGAAGGTGATAGAACTGAGGGCTCAGGGGCCTTGCACGCATCTGTCCCGAGGACAGTGGAGCCTCAGGAGTGCCTGGCAGAGTGGATGGGCAGCACCCTCGCTGCAGGGTGGAAGGTTCACAGGAGGGAGAATGCCTGGTCACCATGGGAGGACACACGGTGACCCGGGGAGTTGTAATGGTGGCCTAGAGCAGCGTGGGAAGGGAGCAGAAGTAGAACAACCTGCAGATGCCTTGCAGATTTAATAAAAATAACCCCATGAAGTTAGTTTGGTGTTGCTCTCATGTGGAGACTCTTCTGGTTGTCACAAACCAGCAGGACGGGACTGTTATTGGTACCTGGTGGGCAGAAGTGAGGAGCCAGAACTTCCTACGGAGCACAGAACTAATGCATACTAGAAAGCCCTGAAGCATCAAGAGGGACCACGCTGAGAAACCCCCAAGGTGGCTGGCCTGGGTAGAGGGGAGGATACTCAGACATTGGGGCTGGGAAGGGCGGGAGAATGTGGCAGCAGGGACGGCCAGCGGTGGCATGCTGATGTCCAGGAAGCAGTCCACTGAAATGCTTCCCAATGGTCTGGTGCAAACTTGCACAGCCAAAAAAGGGGCTTTGGGCCAGAGATGAGAAATTGAGGCACAGAGCAGCCAATGCTACCACCGTCATGTGGCTAAGGAAAGGCAGAGGAGGTTCCTAAGTCATGGACCATTACTCTTACGTTGCTCTGTCATCCTTTTATGACCCCAGTCCTCAAGTCCAGGCTCCAAACCCCTGGTCAGAAGAGCTGAGAGCACTACAAACCTCCACCCTGCAGGGCCAAATGCCCAGAGAGGGAAGGGAAGGGGGGACAGGGTTCCCCATGGAAGCCTCTGTCTGTGAATCCCTACCTCCTCCTGGCAGTTAACACCAGGGTCCAGCTCCCACTGGAGGAAACAGCTTGTCTCCTCCCAGTGCCTCCTGAGCACAGCAAAGCCTCAGTCCCACCTTGTACCCAGCACACACAGGAGACAGCATAAGGAGCCCCTTTCTACTCAATAATAGCTCGGGATGTCCTAAGCGTGTCAGGCCTGTTCACGTGTGCCATCTTCACAGCAGCCCTGGAAGGCAGGTGTTGTTAGTATCCCCACCTTACAGATGAGAAGTGGAAGCAGAGAGAGATGAGTAACTTACTCAAGGTCACACAGATTGTATGGAACGGCGGAGCCATGGTCCGAGCCAGGGTAATCCAGGTGCGAGGCTCCTAATCCCTACCACACTGCCTCTCCAACACGCTGAGGTGAAGCTATATGCCCTGTCCTCCTGGAGGGCTGGGGCTCTCACAGGACAGGGTGCTGAAGAGAAGGGCCTCCCCAGGTATGAAGGGTAGGGACAGTTCCAGTGGCCCCAGGGATCCAGGGCTCCACCAGCGGCATCTGCCAGTGCTGTTCACTCCAACCTCAGGAGAGTGGAGTAGCTCCGACCCACTGCTGGAGACTCTGCAGCTGCTAGGGACATTCTGCAGCCAGAGCCACAGGGCTGCCCAACTGTCCCCCGCAGACTCCGCACGAAGTGGGCTGCCAAAGGGCAAACAGCTGTCAGCAGGGCACCTGGCCGTGGTATGAGAACTGCTGATCACAGGGGTGACACCTGGGGGGCCAGTGGGGGACTCTGAGTTACCCTGAGCAAGGCAGCCAATGCGGGTAGGGGCAAGCAGAGGCCATGGCCTCTTTTACCCAGCTGTCTGATCAGCCTGCCTGCAGCACGGAGGGAACATGGCTCAAGGCTGAAGCAGACCCCGTATTTTCTCCCCAAGGGAAGCTAATCTTGGAGGGGGCTTTGGGCCAGCAGAGCTCACTCCCCAAGCCCCAACCCAGGGTGCCAGGTTTCAGGTGGGCTATGCTGGGAAGCTGAGGCTAAGAGTCAGCGTCCCCAGGTTCCTCTTCCAGCAGAGAACTCGGCTGCACGGCTTTGCTGTCATCTGTCCTGGAGTCCTTGAGAGTCTGACATGTCATGGGTGCCAAGGGCCGTCGTAAGCACCCAACCCTCCCAATCCAAATGCCCACTCCACCTGGCAGTGTGAACTGCTGCCAGGTCGCCGTGTGTCAGCTCCTCCCAGACCCGCTCCAGGCCACTGAGCTTCCAAATCCCTGCTTGCTCCCTGGCGCAGGCCACACCACCCACTTGCTGCTCAGGCCTGGAAGTGCCTGCTGCGTGGGAGCAGTGCGCCAAGCTGCTCACCTCATCCCGCCACGCCAGGGGAGGGAGTCTCATGCCGAAGCTTACTGGTACCAGGGCCATCCCCTCCCTCTGGGAGCTGAAGGACTGGAACCCAGAACCAGGGCCTGGGCACAGCAGAGAACGCTGTGTGGAGGGGAGGAGCAGGGCCTGAAGAGTGTGGCCCTGGAGGCGGGGTGGTGCACTGGGCAGCGTCCTGGGCCCGCAGCCAGGAGACCTGGCTTCAAGTTCTGGACTCCACTTCCCAACTGCACTGTGGCCTTTGGTCAGTGCCTCCTGTGCTCAGTTTCCCCAGCAACCACTCTCCAAGGCATGAGTGCTTATTTCAAACCTCTGAACCTGTTCTAGCCTGGCCCCAGGAACGCAGGTGTAGGACAGCTCCAGGAACTGACATCTGAAACAAGTATCCCAGAGGCCTTGATTCTCACGAGGAGCACTGACGTAGGGTAGTGGGGAAAACAGAAGGCACCGAAGCCGGGTGGCTACGGTGTGCCATCCCAAGAGAAATCCAGGGCCGCATGCAGCCCACTGGCAAACCTGCAGCTCTAGCTGAAGGACAGTGCCAAGGTGCCCACCTCATGGCCTGGCACCAGTGCCAAGGCCTTCAAGACAATGCCGGCCAGCCCACTGCACTTTGCCTTTTACTCTCTGTTTCTTGTTTCTCGTCTACAACTCTAATATGTGCCTCCTCTGCTTTCTTTCCTTCCTTCTTTCCCCCTATTTCACAGACTTTGGGGAGTGCCTGCTTTATGCCTACATTCTGGGGGGGTACATGGCAAATCTGAAGACAGAGACTGTACCCCCAGGAGTCTGCACCCTGGGCTTCCGTGCCCTGTCCAGCTCCATCAGGTCCTCTAGAAACAGAAAGGCTGCTGCCGCCCACACTCCCAGCAGGCTGAGCCACGCTGCCCCACCACCAAGAGGTGCAGGGAGGCAGAAAGGGCTTGGCGACCCGAGGAACCTGAGCCAGCCCCAGAAGGCCATGCCAGTGGGCAGAAGCATACGTTTTAAATCCTGATGCTTTATGGCTGGGTGACCCTGGGCTATGCGCCACTCTGTGCCTTAGTTTCTTCACATGCAAGTGCGATGATGCTCACACTAGTGTGTATAGAGCACCTGCTATGTGCTGAGCTCTGTGTAAGTGCTTTACCCTAGCGAATGTCCTTACGCCATCCGTACGTCACCGAAGCCCCATGTCCCTATTCTACAGACATGGACACGCAGAGGGAAGAAGTGTAGAGACTCGCCCCGGGGGCTACACAGCTTGTAAGTGACACTCTGGCTTCAGAGTCTGGGTATATAATCTCTCTCCTGTACCGATTCTATTAACTACACTTCACACAGCTAGGGGCAAAGCAAGGCACTTGGAACACTGCCTGTACATGAAAACACACACAAAAGCGGCAATAGTTATCATTGTTGGGTTTGCCTAACTCGTTTTTCTGCAAAGCAGAACCTCCAGCCCAGAGAGCCTGGGAAACACCCTCTCCTGGCCTTATCTCCGAGGAGGCGGTCAGGATGATCAGGATGGTGTGAGGTGGAGCCCAAAAGAGGGATTCCCTGTTCCCGACTCTTCTGTGTTTGTGCCAAAATAGTAAAGCCAGGACCCCACTTCCCAAATCTCCAAGTTGTTGGCTGTCTGAACGGCTGGCCACTGGACAGCTCCTTTTCCTACTCGGAGGGGACACTGATGTCCAGTCCCCCAGTGCAGCACAGGGCTGAGATGGGTCCTACTCAGCCTCGACATGGGCACTTGGCGGGGTTCTGGAAAAGCCCTAGGAGGCGGAGTGGCCACCCCAGGTGGAAGCTGCCTGCTTCTCATCAGAGCCTCCTAGGAACTCTATTCTTAGGGTGCTTTTAACTTTGACATCTTCCAGAAGTTTCCCTGCACAAAAGCAACCCTGCCGTGGCTGTAATTTACACGTCACATCACTTGCACACAGCACAGTCCACCCCCTTCAACCACTCCCACTCTCATACCTTCCCCTGCCCGACTCGCAAAAATGGCTTCTGCATCATTCCAACCACCCTTCTTCCCCTGCTTCTCACTCCAGGGGACAGCAGGTGACATGTGAAACTGACAGAGGAAGGGGAAGGGGGGCCGGGGAAATTCAGCGAAATCCAAGCTTTGGAACTTCCCCGTTTCCAGGATGGGCATCACTTCTGCTTGGCGGTCCACGTTGCCATAGCAACAGCCCAGCTGTGCCCAAATGCCCGTTTGCCACCCAACCTGGGAGTACCCAGTGTGAGCCACTTACTGTGATGGTGTTTTCCTTGCTCTGCTTTTTGCCTGGTGAGGAGGATCCCAGGTTCTGGAGAGAGAGGTAAGAAATATCATCAGAGCAGTTCTCCATATTGGACTTTTTTTCCCCCATTCAGGTTCCCTGAGGGTGGAGGGCTTGGTTAAAATCCCTGTACTGGTGAAGTCCAGGGATGTTCAGCCTGCTGTTCACTCCTAAGTCACCATAGCCTGGGTTAGGGTAGACAGGAAGATCTCCCGAGTCCACGCTGTTCCCATGCTCAGCTCTCAGGCTACAGGCAAAGTGGAAAAAGGCTCCTGCAGAAAACTGCTCCAAGCCAGGTCTCCCCTCCTCTCCTCTCAATCTGATTTGGGGAGTTAACCCCTCTGCTGCCCTCTGCTGGTGAAAGGTTCTGTGTGCTCACTGTCTGAGCCTCAGAATCCAACCAGGAGCAGAGTTTGGGCCAATCGCAGGCCATGCCTCTTGCCAGTGAGGATTCAGACTGTGACACCTTATTCTGAAACTCCCAGGTCCAAATATCAAACCCTAAGTATGGGCAGCACGCACAGGGCACTGCTCAGTAACTGCTGAGACTTGCCAGTCTCCCAGCCCCAGAAGCCAGGAGCCATTTCTCAGCCAAGCCAGCATCAGCTTCCACTCAGTCTCTGGGTTGCCTTTTTGTGTCTTCCCTGATGCCAGCAGGAAACTGGGGTCCCAAGTACGGCTGAGCCCACAGGTCCTTGGCAGGGGTCCTTGTCAAAGTCCTACACTGGGGTGTGCTGGCAGACAAAACCAATGGCTGCCAGCTGAAAACGTCACATCTGTCTTAAGAGGAGATGACGTTCAACCCTGGGTCTTCCTTGTGCAATTAGCAATTACATTAGGGAGTCGACACCAGAGGTCCCGGGCAGCACCTGAGGTGTCTCCTGTCCTGAGCCTCACAGTGACCTTACTAAGCTACCGTGGATGGGCATCCTATTTACATTCCGGCACTGACACCCAAACTTCCCCTATCCTGGGTGGAACAGAAGAAATGTCTGTCACTTATTAGACAAAATTCCAGGAAAATCATGCAAGTGCTTTGCCAGTGAGGTGCAAGGAAACCAGCAGCCCCGTCATTCACCCTCAGACAACCCAACCCTAGACCACCCTTCTGCTGTGGGTAATCAGCAGCCCCTCACTTGGGAGCTGGACTAAGTGCTCATTTCTTACTGCCTTACAGTGCTCCTTTGGCTGCTAAATAAAATCAACTCATGAAAAGTGACGTCCTTAGAGGGCTTTGCAAAAAGTAACTCTCCTTCAGGACCCTGCATTTCACAGGCAAGAAATTGATTACTGGCTTTGAGACCCTGGCCAGGGATCCTGAATTCTCTGTGTCTCAGTTTTGCCATCTATAAAATGGGATCATTACTGCTGGTCTTTAGGCTTTGAGGTACACCAGGTCTGAGGAGCCTATCCCGAACGAGATTCAGCTGTACCTCCCACAGCTGCTGCTCCAGCAGGTCCCTGGTGGGGTGAGCTGCTCCCACCAGAACCTGCAGCTCTCACTTGGAGCCATGCTGATCTGGTCAACCTTCTGTCATTTTATCACGGTGTCTATGTACAGCAACTCCTCTGGCTGCTGACAGTTGTTCAGTTTCCATCAGTATTTTTAAGGCATCACGTCGTCCATCTGGCCAACCCTGCACCCTCTCATGCTATCGGTTCTGTCCCAGGTCATGTGCCAAAGTTCCTGGTGGAAGAAGGCAAACAGAGGCCCCATGGCCAGGGCCAGTTACCAAGGGGAGAGATGGGGATGGAAATCTCTTCCAGGCGAGACACTGGCCGGGCGCATGTATGCCAGGAAGGCGGAGAGTTGCATTTGGGGTGGATCCTGCAGTTTGCCCTCTCCCTGTTATGGGCGAACAGTGCACTGCCACCATTGCTCTGGGCCTGGCACCCGGTGCTCCAGCAGCCTTGGCCAGTCTTTGAGTCCACAGGTGGATGCTGATGTTGCTGGGGATGCAGAGATGGGTGAGGAGGACAACTGAGAGAGAGGAACCATTGCAAGAGCTACTGCCACGGAACGACTGCTTATCTCAGCAAGCACCAGGCTTGGCATCTGACATACTTAATCTCGCTTAATCCTCACAGCCCTCGCGAGATGTGTGGCATCTTATCTGTTTTTGCAGAACATGATACTAAGGCTTGCAGTAGCTAAATCATCCAGGGTCACAAGACTGGTAAACAGACAAGTGGAAACCAGACCTGAAGCCTGCGTATTTCTCTTTTCTATCTTCTGTCATCTCTTCACTTTGAGACCTGGGACAGTGTCTTGCTTTCCAGGTATTTTTGCAGGGACCAAAAGAGATCTCCATCTTTTACTAGCATTCATTCCAAGACTGCTGTGTACAAAACTCTGTGGAATGAAACTGGACATGGAGATCACACCTATTCCCTACAACTTAGGTCAGGACAGCAACACATGGAGGGTGGCTGTTCTGTGAGTGGGAGCCCATACCTCCCCTGATCTCTGCCCTGTTGGCCGTGGATCACTTCAACCAGTGCTTATCTGAGACAGAGGGGCTATAGGCAATACCAGTCTCTGTGACTGCTGCTGCTGATCTGTGCCCACCATTTCAGAATCACATACATATGTTATATATGTGCAAAGATATGTACATATATCTATGCACCACACATACACACACCCCTACTTTGTATCACTGAAAAGTCCCAGAAGGAAGGATACTACATCACATTGTCAGCATTTACCAGCTATATAGTGTGTTTTTAAATACCATTCCCCACTAAAAGGAACCCAAGCTCCTTGGAAAACATGGCTAGTCCCAAATACAACAGATCCGGAATAGCTAGCAGTGGCAGGAGCTAAGAAAATGCGTAAGTAGTAATGATGACATAACAAAAGGACATAAAAACCTTCCTCTAAAGGGCTCCCACAGACTACATTTGGGGCAATCCGAGCATGAATATGAAAAATGACTACAACTGACTCACTCCAAGGTGGAGGGAGGAAACACTTCATCTCAGAAAAATGGAAATAAAATGTATCAGGAATTAGAAATTCACCATTTAGGAACCCCAGTGTCGAAAGAGATTCAGGCGACGATTATCAAGGATGTTCAAAGCCGTGAGTGAAAAGATTGTCGGGGAACAGGATAGTCACTCAGTATCATACTGGCATCCCACAGATTACTGACAAACTAGGGAAGAAAAATGTACCCCTTCAAAGGAGAAATCTAGTAGCTGGCACATTAGCCAAGAGCTCAAACAGCCTCATCAGCAGGTTGCAGACCTGGGAGCTGTGCCTCTGGATGTAAGAAGCACTCAACATGCTTAGAGAGTGTCCTCACCAACACTGCTTAGTGAGAATCCAAGAACTTAACGCATCTAAGCACAAGAAAGCAGCTCGATCCAGCATGTAGGTCACTCTACAAGACAACTGACCTGGCCTCTCCAAAAACATCAATGTGAGGAAGGACAGGAGAAAAAAGATCTGAGAGATCAACCTAGGTGAAAAGAGATTAAAGGGACGGCGGAGAGAAAACGTTCCGTCTGTGCACAATGGAATGCTACTCCGCTACAAGAGCGAAGGTCTGAGCCACACAACACTGGCCTCACAAACACAAGAAGTGAAAGCAGCCAGGCACAGAGGCCCACAAATAGCACAATTCCACTACACGCAATGGCCAGAGCTGGAAAATGCAGTGAAAGAAAGCACAACAGTGGTTGCCTAAGGCCTTTTGGGATTTTTTTTTTTTTTTTTGGATAATGAAAATATTCCAAAATTCATTAGGATGATGGTCCACAACTTCATGAATACACTAAAAAAACCCCACTGTTTGTACAAATCAAAGAGAGTAAGTTGTACAGTATACAAGTTACATATCAACAAAGCTGTTTTTAAAAAAGAGACAGACAGACAGACAGACAGGCTGGAGAAACACAGCAACCGATGAAACTTGAATGGATCCTGGACTGGGGAGAAAAGCTGATACGAAAGACACCTGGGGGAAAACTGCAAATCTGAATGTGGAATATATCTACGCTAGGTAATATGACTGAATTCATGTTTTTTTTTTAAGTGTAGTAATGGTGTTGTGATGTTTTTCCCCTTTGAAACACATTCTGAAACATTTGCATTTAAAACAACGTTATCAGGAAATTGCTTTAAATAATGATGAGGTGGGAGCGTTAGGTGGCTGCTGCCATAGGGAGCATCAATAAAACAAAACTGGTTTAATTCCGGGTAATTGCTGAAGTTAAATGATAGCTCTATAGTACTTTATGACAGTATTCCTTCAACTTTTACAAAGGTTTCCAAATTCCCATGGATATTTTTAAAATTTATTTTGTTTGTGGTTCCACAGAATTCCCCTCCTCCATTTATTGTTTAAATCCCTCTCCAGCCTGGGGTCCTCCTGACTCCACCCGGACAGCTCTGCTGTCACCATGAGGACTAACAGAAAGTGGGTGACACCAACTGCTGGCGAAACTATAGCAGTCACACACGAGGGATTCATCAGTGCCCTGTTCCACCGTCCCCACAGCCTGTATCTGCCCCCTAAACATAATTTTCTGGGCCTTACTCCTTGGGCAGGTGGGATTCTGTAGGAAATCCCTCCATGGCTTCCAGAAATGGTTGGGATCACACCCAAGCATCCGGTGAGAGGCCCATGCAGACAGCTCCAGCCTCCTGTTCCACCCTCCTACCTCTAATTTAATAAGCCAGGCCTGCTGCACTCGGCCTCTGTGGGTTCTTTAAAAGCATCACTTTCCTCCTCACCTCGAGGCACCACACAAGCTCTTCCTTCTCCCGGAATGCTGTTACCCCCAAGTCCCCACATCTTTGCTGAGCTAAACCCCTGCTCATCCTTCCCAGTCTTCAACGAAATAACTCTTCTCAGAGAGCCTGTTCCTGACATTTCCACGGCCACCAGACTAGGTCCTTGTGGCAGACGCTTCCTCCAGCCCGGGCACTGCTTGATTTACATCATCACTTATCTGAATCCGTTCCTTACCAGCTACAGACTTTCATCAAAGCAGGGGTTACATCCTTATCAGTCTCCCTGCCTGTAAAGATGTAAATGCTCGATAGAACAGTTTATTGATTTAAGAGAGAAGGGGCAGAGAGATTCAGCATCTCAGTCTTTCCCCATTTTCAACTGCTTTCTTCAATTGGTTCCTTAAATCTCTAAACCTCAAGTCTTATTCTTTTTCTTCCCTCCTGCGTATTTGTGGAGAAGATCATGGGAAACCAGAATAACTGAAAGATGGATCACAAAAGGCACTAGTGGGCAAGATGGAAGAAAACTGGCTAGGACTTGCTTCTCTAAGGGTTGGCAAAACTATTAGCTTTTGATCCACCTCTCCCTCCCAATCAGGAGGGCCCCTTTAACCAAAAACCAGGCAGCAGCCCAACCCAGGCCCTCAGTGCTGACAGACACCTTCCAATGGGTGGCTGCACATCACAGCCATCCCCCGTGCACATCTGTTTGGGTCTCCCCAGGGCTAGAAGAAGGAGGGGGAGTGACCCAGGCATCAGTCCTGCCCTTAACAGAATACAATGAAGACACACTCCTGACTCCCATGAAAATTCGACATTTACTCCCTGTGCTCCCGGCCTTCTAATCTTCCCAATTAGTCTACTTGAGGGAGGCAACCAGCAGGTAGCATAAAAAGACTTTCAGGATCGAGGCTTGTTTTTCTGGCCTCTGTCACTGTCACCTTGAGCAAGCCACTTTACTGCACACCCTGCCACATCGCATCTGGCCTATGTTCACCTGCTTCTTCATCCATCCGTGTTTCCATTATTATTAAGAGTAACCATCATGAGTTACGGTGGACAGCCTGGGGAGGAATGAGCAAATTGCCCTGTATGCTGAGGACAGTATGCTCAGGGAGCCTTTGCAGGAGGACTGTTTGTGAGCCATGTGTGTGTGTGTTTAGGCTTCAGCGCCTTCTGTGGATAAGCAGCTTTTCAAGTTCACAAAGTATGATAAAAAGTTATAGCTTTTTGGGGAGGCTGTGGCAGGATGATGCCAAGTTCCAAGCCAGCCTGGGTAACTAAGTAAAACTCTTATTTCCTTTACACATTTCACTATTTTTCATATTTCTTAAAATGAACACATTACACTTTTTTGGGGGGTGGTGGTAGGGATGAAACCCATGGCTTCAACACGCTACACAAATGCTTTGGGCTATACCTTCAGCCATTTTAATTTTTATTTTTGAGATAAAAATTACTCATGATGTTTGAGCAAGCGTTAGTATCCTCAGCAGAATTCTTATTTTCATTTCTTTTATTTCTTCTTCTTTTTTTGGTACTGGGGATCAAACTCGGGTCGTTGGGCTTGCAAGGCAGGCAGAGGAACCACTGAGCCAAATCCCTGGCCCAGAATTCCTATTTTCAAACTGGATACTTCTTGTTGGGAAGAGCTGTCGTGTGCATCAGAGGATGTTTAACAGCATCCCCAGCATCTATCAGTACACGCCATTAACAATGCCTCTGTAGTTAGGACAATCAAAATGTCTCCAGATGTCCTCTGAAGCAGAACCGAGATCTCAGATGCAATAAACCACCACAAATGCTCCCAGCCATTTTCTTTTTCACATAAGCATAGTTTTCCTGCTCTCAAAAGAGAATGACTATACATACAGTATATGTAGTTGGTGTTGTGCTTGTCCTATTCAATGTTAAGTTGTGACAACTTTCCACATCATTACATTTTCTGCAGAAGAATGCTTTTTAATGATTGTATAATATCACTGGCTAGCTGGCTGTCTAGTGCCATAATCCATTTTTCTCATCCCTTGGTGCTGGGCAATTAGGTTGGGTCCACCATTATGGGGCTATAAATAATGCTTGAGTGAAGAGCCTTATACATAAACCAAAATCCCTGAATATATTCCAAGAGCAGATGTTGGGAGAGAAATTCCTATGTCAGAAGCTTATGATACATACTATTAAGTCAGCTTCTACGTTGTAAGTCAGTTATTCCAGCAAACATTTTTCAATGGTTAACTAATAACTTCATACTACTTCTGGAGGCAGAAGGAGTTGTGTTTCATTAGGGAAGGAAGAATGGGAAGCGGTTTCCAATATTCTTCCACATGAGGCTCCAGCTAGTTCTTCATAAACTGCTGCAGAACTCAGGCTGATGTCTTCTGAGACGCTCTCCAATGTGACAGCAAGTAAATTTCCTTTCCGACAGAGTGACAGAACTGTTGTAAGGAGGCTACATGGGGACTCGGAAGAAAGCACTCGGAAGTTGGGGTTGACTCATCAGAGGAGCCATGAGCAGAGGAGTGAGGGGACACACACGACACTGTGTATGGACTCAGCCTAGGTCCCTACAACCCAGGATTGACCATCAGCAGCACCTGGGGACTGGCTGGAAATACTGTGCCATCTCAGGCTTCCTGGATAAGAATTTCAACAGGTGGCCAGGAGACGCAGACTTTGAGAACTCTGACCTACTGTGATGTTCAAACTCTTTGCCAGAGTTAAGTGAACTGAACCTGACCCCAACCGATGCTTAGCTTCTTAAGAGAATCACTTAGTAAGTTTTCAAAAACTAACATTGGAGCTGAGTGTCACACTTTAGAAATGGTACTAGAGCACAGGTCTTTCGTTGTAATTCCAGAAAAGACCTTTGGAGTCTGGAAGCTTCATTAAGAACCCCTCCTTGATAATTTATGAATGGACTAAATAAGACGAGTCCTAGTTTCTTAGACACAGCTTAAAGCACCTGAAGAAACCACAGGATGGGGTGTCAGGGCCACTCTGACCCCGCAGTCACTGTGTGAGTGTGCACAAGTTACTTAAGCATTCTGTGCTCCTGAGGTCTTATGCACAACACGGGAGTGGGTCCTGACACCCTCCAGGTGCCCTTGTGCAAGTGTCAAAAGAGATGGTGAATAAGAGCAGTTTTAATCTTAAAACATACTCCCAATTCTTCTTACTCCATAGCTGCCTCTATATAAGCTTAGCAAGTAAGATGAACAAATTTTACTGAATTCCTAGTCTGAGTGGGAGGAGTGGGGGATAGAAAAAGACACTAAACTGGATCGTGTGTACTCTTCACGTGATGGAAAACCTGGACTCTATCAGGAATGCAGACAGCAGAATGGACCCCTCTGGTCTGACAGTGACAAGTAATGTTCATCTGCTCCTCCTGCAAACCACCCTTGGCATTTAGAAAACTAGCAGACTTTAAGCATTCAGCTTCTCCCCACCAGGAGAAAACATGGCCCAGGTGGGCCACTCACCTTCCACTTGGGGCAGAATGGGCCTACAGTCAGCTAGACTCTCCCACTGTACCCATCCTTTTATGAACCCTTCCTGGGGGTACACACGCAGCTATCCTTACTTCCCTTAAAGGGACACCTTACCTGGGAATCACCGGTGGATTTTCGGAGACTCATGTGGGCAGTCTCTGGAGGGTGCGCTGGGGTCCCTGATGCGTGGTATCCATTCACTGCGGGGACAGAGACACGGCTCAGATGCTGTGTGGGCCACAGACAGGCACCCTCGACTTTGGCCACTGTGGCCCCTTTTCCCACCTCCTCCCCAGGTTCTGGGAGGTGTCACAGAGCTAGGTCCATCTCTCAGGATCTTTGCAGTAGCTGCAAAGCTGGAAATGGGTTAAAAGCATCTCTCTAATCCCTAGCACTCAAATTACTGAACTCTCAGGGGACTGAGTTTCTTCTCCATGGCCAGAAATCAGTTGGAGTCTCAGGTGCCAGTCAAGTGTCCCATCACACTATTGTGTCAGGTGGCCTCTGTGCCACCTTCCTACCATCCCTTTCCTCTCTCTCTCTCTCTCTCTCTCTCAGAAGCATCTCCATCTTCAACCTCAGAGCATTGTGATGTAGGTACAGGTTGAACATCCCTTATGCAAAACGCTGGGGACCAGAAATGTTTCCAATTTAGGATTTCTTTGGATTTTGCAATATTTGCACAGACTTTGCATGGGTTGAACATCCTTAATCCAAAAATCTAAAATCTGAAATGCTTCAAAATCGAAGCCTTTTGGACATCATATCTCTGAAAAGTTTCCAATTTTAGACTTTCAGATTAGGGATGCTCAATGTCTACAGTACACAGAGAAGTGGGTCCACTGGAGGCATGAATTTGGCTCAGCCAATTACTACCCTGGTGATTGTATACAGACCACCTTGAGTATCAGTATTACTAAAATTAAAAGGAAATAACTGAGAGCTCTGGAATTCTATTTCTAGGAATATTCTCCTAATGTGCCAATAAATGCACTCTCAGGGGAGAGGGAACTGATTTGTAGCATCTTGCAACCTCTGTGGGATAATCAGCTTGCACCACGGCCAGCCTCAAGCCCACAACATGGTTGCGTGCTCCTGACCTCACAAGTTTACACTGAGACCCATGCACTCTCATTCCCTATAGTTAGTGCAGCTCCGGCCCAGATACAGTGACTTGAGCCTAAGGGGCCAATTCTCCCCAGCAAGCTGCAGGCTCATGTGCCTGTAAAATGGGCATAAGTCCACATAGTCTTCAAACCAGCTTTGTCGGTGTGACAATCCAACGAGGCAGTGATTGCAAAAGGGATCTGTACGCTATGAGTACTCATTAAAGCAGGAAGGAGGAGTGTAGGAGGGGAGGGCTGCTGCTTTTGTTCCTGAATTCAGGCCCACCAGCTTGCACAATCTCTGGAGACCAGGAAAGCAATCCATCCTCAAATCCCAGGACTGGGGGAACTGCTGATGTGAGCACACAGTGCAGGTCATACTGGAGGAAGGTATACAAACTGAAGTCCACCTTATGAGTCTTCTTCAGAAAACTTTGCAGGGTGGCAGGAAGCAAAGTAGAAAAGAGCTGCGAGTCACCAACACCTACCATAGGTTAAGCATCATTTATCCAACAATCTGCAATGCTCCCAAATTTAAACGTTTTGAGTGCTGACATGATGTCACGAATGGAAAATTCCGCATCATGAAATTCTTTCATGCATATAATTGCTGAAGAGATTGTGTAAAACTGTCTTCAGGCTATGTGTAGGAGGTATATGTGAAATATGAACGAATTTCATGTTTAGACTTGGGTGTTTTCCCCAAAACAGCTTGTTATGTACATGCGAGTATTCTCAAATGTGAAAAAGTCAAAATAAGAACCAAGATACAACATATAAAGGTACAAGATCCCAATGATGAATACAACTGTACTGTATACCTAAAATGTATCAATAAACTTAATGGGAAAAAAAATCTGAAGAAGTCACCAATCTGGGCTACTTCTGGTCCGAAACATTTGGGATAAGGGACATGCAGTCTGTCGTATGAAGTAGCAGTGGGTGAACAAAAGCAATGGGCAGTGGGATGGTGAAGACCACTCCAGGTGTAACCTTTTTCGTGCTGAGGGACACACTGCACACTCCACCAGAAGCAGGAGAAGAACCCAAGGCCATGTGCAAAGAGAGTCACACTTAGCAGAGTGCCAGTGGACAGTCAGCTTCTCTTTGCTGTGCAGAGTTTGCCCAATACTCCTGAAGAAGGGCAGGAGGACACCAGGGGAAAGTGATAGAAAACAGGTCCCTGGAACAGCGGCTTATAGGAACAAAAATAAACAACAAATTAACGTCGTGTGGCCAGGTTCACACCCATGACCTTCTGGCAGCCAACCCAATTAAAAAAGCAGCTGGGAAAAGGAGGCCAGGCCTATAATCCCAGCTCAGGAGGCCGACACAGGAGGATCATAAGTTTGAGGACCACTAGGTGACTTTATGAGGAGCTGTCTCATAAAATTTAAAAAGAGACAGCTAGCAGTGCAGTTCAGGAGTAGAGCACTTGCCTAGCATGCATACATCAAGGCCCTGGGCTCAATCTCAGCGCTACGAAAGGGGTGGGGTAAAACTATAACAGCATCATGAAGGATGCTGAGGAGCTGAAGCGAATCTACTCAGATTGGCAAGAAGCTATTGCAGGAAAGGTGTCAGACTGATGGCAAACACATCTCACAATGCAGGTAGCACTCAAATTTTACTCATTAAACAACATAGCATTGAAATGGATAAAACACAAATGCTAGAAAGTTTAGAGTCTGTGTTTCAGTCTGGGACTGATTGATAGGCAAGGATAGGGACAAACAAGATCTTAACAGTTTAATTTTAAAAGCTAATCGAAATAGATTTATTAAACATCCTAACCCATAAGCAAAAACAGCATCTTTTGCCAGGAAGCCCCAGAACACTTTAAAAGTGTTTTAGTCACATTTTAGTCACAAATAAGTAATCAATAAGTGGCAAAAGGCATAAACAACATGGGTTATATTCACGCATCTTTTGCCAGGAAGCCCCAGAACATTTTAAAAGTTGGCTACATTTTAGTCACAAATAAGTAATCAATAAGTGGCAAAAGGCATAAACAACATGGGTTATATTCTTTAACTAAAAATCTATAAAAGTGAATTATTAATGAAAAAATAAATAAATACACAAAGACCCCAATTTCTCAATTCCCAAGCACTTGGAAACTTAAGAAAATGTCCTCTCAGTCTCAGGTCAGAAGAGAATTTAAGACTGCAATTACACACAATTGAGAAAACAGTAACAAAGCACATACAAAAACAAACAGGATAAAGCCCAAATTATCTTGGAGGAAAATCTATAACATTTATTATCCCAAACCCAAAGGAACGAAAATAAATGGATTAAACATTCAATTTAAGAATTTAGGGGAAAAAAAAGTAAAGTCCAGTGAAATAAACTGAAGAAAAACAGGAGAAAGGTATATCGACAGAAATTAATGAGTTAGGACCTAAGATGATAAGAACCCAGAGCTGGCTGGGTGTGTGTGTATGTGCGAGCACGTGCATGTGTGTGTGTGCTTGTGCGTGTGTGTGCGATTCCTGTGGGTCAGGGTAGGAATCACACAGTAAAGAAAGGAGATGAGCCAGCCTAATTTGAAAGTGAGCACAGGCAGTCAGATTTAGGAATCAGAAGAACACACGAATGGAATAAGCACAGGTCTTTTGTTATTGTTGTTGTTGTTAATACAAGAGCACACAATTTCTAATTCTCGCTAATAAAAGCCAACATTCCATAAGATTCAAGTTATCAAAATGAATTCAAGAAACACTGGAAACATTAAAAAAAAAAAAAAAGAGCAAAACCTTTGCAAAAGTACCTCCCTGCATAAGACTGGACCCAGATAGTTTTATAGGCAAATTCATACAAACTGTGGAAAGAAATACCCGGGCACAATCTGTACCACAGTGCAGAAACACGAGCCAGGTTTCCTGGTTTATACACAAAGCCAAATTAGCCCCATCACCAAGTCAAACAAGGAGGACACAAAAGTGGACCACAGTCAGTCTGATGAGGAAAGTGAAGCACACATGGTTTTTCCAGAGCAGGTAAGGTTACTATCCAGTAAACCAGGGTTGTTCCCCAGCTCCCTGAGAGCAGAGGCTGCTCTTTGGACCCCTCCTTACTCGCTTCCCAGGATCTCAAAATGCACCTTTGCTGGGCAGCCCCCAGTTCCTGCCAGATGACATGCCTGGCACAGCCAGGAAGAGTATAATGCAGAGGCATCCTGCCCCTAATCCATTCCCTTTTCTCACTTCATTTCTGGTCTGTCAGCTCTTGGCTAATTACTACTCATGTCAAAACAATTACTGGGAAAGAAAAACTAATTTTCCATTCAACCATTTCTCCCCACACAGCAGTTCTCCTCTGACACCCTGTCTCGCTGTGTTTCTCTCTGACACTCCCAAGCACAGTCAGAAAGCTGGTCAGTGGAGATCAAAACAGTTAGGGTCCAGAAGATCACAGCAACCCTGCCCACAAGCACCTGGAACTGGCACTGTCATCCTGGGGGCTCCCAGCTCACAGGTGTCAGGCACAAAGATGAGGCCAGAGTGGGGGCTTTTAAGGGTCTCCAGCCTCCGGGGAGTGTGGGGGGGGTTTAGAACTGATTAAAAATCAGTCGATAACCATAAGGAATGCAATTTGACATAAAAGAAAAACATGTAAAATGCTGACCCCGGGGGTTAAGTTTAACGGGGATGGGGGTTGGGGGGCTGGTAATTTTGGTAACTGCAGAAATAAACACGGGCACACACCCACCCATTCAGTTCTGCCTTATAGGCAGTGAAGCCAACGGGAAGAGCTTGGGAGATGTACAATGACAGAAGGGAACAGATATTTGGGTAAAAGGAAGAGAAGGAGGTTGGAGTAGGGGGAAGTGAATAAAAACAGAAGGAACATAAGAAAAATTGTCAAGGGACTAAGCAACAAGAGTGAGCAACTTCTGCCACCCAGAATTCACCCTCCAGGAGCTCTGCTTCCACATTTCAGCTCCAGATCCTACTGCGAACAGTTCCAACCCAGGCCCCACTGTGCAGGCTCCTGCTCCTTGAAGAACACAAAAAAGTACAGGAAAATCAGCCCTTGACACCCTGCTTTTAACCTTCTTTAGCTCTGGCCTAATCTCCCCTCTTTCTGGA